TTTTTTTTTTTGTGTGTGTGTGTGTTTTAACAGTTCTGCAAATTTCTCTTGCCTTTAAATGACTAGAATTCAGCAATTAGCATTTTTCTTGTAATCAAATATATGCTTAGCTAAAAAATTTATGTAGCTTTGTACATTTCATCTCAATTTTTTTGAAAGATGCCTGTGACTACAAAGTAGATCTATAGCCTGCCCATTTGGAAACTATAATCCGTTGGAGATATGGGTCCTATTAACCAAGGGAAGTGGTTGTGATTGGTATGCTAACATTGTATTACTGTTGAGGTCATATAACTTACAGGGCATTGTTGCCAACCTTCCGGAGTAATTCTAAAATCAATCTTTTCACATTGCCCAATTATATTTCTTCTAGCTAAGACTTTCTCTTACATTACTTATGCTTTCTAGAGTCTTACCTGCAATATCAATCAACTTGGTGGTCCTGCCTTGTTCAAATTCACTTTATTTGTTAATGTGTCCATTCTTTTATCATGGAAATGTTCCCCCGTGAACACGTAGAATAGATTTACTGCTCAATTCTCAAATACTAAATACACAGTCACATGTACTTTCAAGTGCTCAGTTTTAATTGTCTTATGACTTACCTTGATATGACTACCTCTCACTATTGTTATCTTGTTAGACCTGTACCTTTCTCTGATTAATTATGATCAGCACTCTCTCTTTCGCTTATGTACATTAATTAAGAATTTATTTGCTATCTAAAAATTTCATACCTGTTATAGTCTTTCTTTGACCAGGACAATCTAAAATTTATTCTTCCATTTTAGGTTCCTGTAATTTATCTTTCATCTTTGGGGAGTTCAGGCTTCTTTGACAACTCACCATTGAAATGACTATGAGCAACCTTAAGCTAGGGGTGGATGTGGTTAGTGCCCACAACCTTCTGCCGAAAGATGGGCAGGGTTCATCCAGTGCTTTTGTAGAACTCTGCTTCGATGGTCAGAGATTCCGTACCACTATCAAGGAGAAGGATCTCCACCCTGTTTGGGATGAGAGCTTCAACTTCAACATCTCTGACCCTTACAACCTCCACAATCTCACTTTGGATGCCTACATCTACAATAATGTCAAAGCCACCCACTCCAGGTCCTTCCTAGGGAAGATTTCCCTGAGTGGGACTTCATTTGTTCCCTACTCTGATGCTGTTGTCTTGCACTACCCTCTGGAAAAGCGTGGGATCTTCTCACGTGTAAGAGGAGAGCTCGGCCTTAAGGTTTATATTACAGATGACCCTTCCTTAAAGTCATCTATCCCTTTTCCTGCAGCAGAGAACACTCAAGTTGACACCCAATCTGTTCAAAATCCAGCCCCAAACACTTTTCATAATGTGATACACGAAGCAAGACACACTTTCCATCATCTCCCAAACCCTAATCACTCTCAACAGCAGCGTAACACTTCTGCAGTTGCAGTGCCCCAACAGATGGTGAAATATGGGGTCAACGAGATGAAAGCTGAACCACAGCCTCCAAAGCTCGTCCGTATGTACTCAGCATCATCAGCGCAACCTGTTGATTATGCTCTTAAGGAGACAAGCCCATTCCTTGGTGGGGGACAGGTTGTGGGTGGTCGTGTTATTCATGCAGACAAGACTGCATGTACTTATGATCTCGTTGAACGGATGCACTTCCTCTTTGTTCGAGTTGTCAAGGCTCACGAGCTTCCTGCCATGGATGTTACGGGGAGTCTTGATCCATATGTTGAGGTGAGAATTGGAAATTATAAAGGTGTTACAAAGCATCTAGAGAAACAACAAAACCCAGTGTGGAATGTGGTGTTTGCCTTCTCAAGGGAACGAATGCAAGCATCTGTACTAGAAGTAGTAGTTAAGGACAAAGATCTGGTGAAAGATGACTTTGTTGGCTTTGTGAGGTTTGATCTCAATGAAGTTCCTATGCGTGTTCCACCGGATAGTCCACTGGCTCCACAATGGTACCGACTTGAGGATAAAAAGGGAGAGAAGATAAAGGGTGAGCTGATGCTTGCTGTCTGGATTGGCACCCAAGCAGATGAGGCATTTCCTGATGCATGGCATTCTGATGCTGCTACCCCCATTGACAGCTCAGCAGCAGCATCCTCACTAATACGTTCAAAGGTTTATCATGCACCACGGCTTTGGTATGTCCGTGTAAATGTTGTCGAGGCGCAGGACTTGGTTCCAACAGAGAAGAATCATTTCCCGGACGCATACGTAAAGGCACAAATAGGAAATCAAGTCCTGAAAACAAAGACAGTTCAGGCTCGGGCATTTAACCCGCTCTGGAATGAAGATCTTTTGTTTGTTGCTGCTGAACCATTTGAAGATCATCTTATCCTCACTGTTGAGGATCGTGTGGCTCCAGGCAAAGACGAGATCTTGGGAAGGGTCATTATACCGTTGAGTCTTGTGGAGAAGCGTGCTGATGATCGCATCATCCATTCTCGTTGGTTTAACCTTGAAAAGCCAGTTGCAGTGGACGTGGATCAACTGAAGAAGGAGAAGTTTTCCAGCAAGCTACATCTCCGAGTCTGTCTAGATGGAGGTTACCATGTTCTTGATGAGTCTACTCACTACAGCAGTGATCTTCGTCCCACAGCAAAACAGCTCTGGAAGCCATCAATTGGGGTTTTGGAACTTGGCATCTTAAATGCTGTGGGGCTCCACCCCATGAAAACAAGAGATGGGAAGGGCACATCAGATACATACTGTGTGGCAAAGTATGGTCACAAATGGGTCCGAACTCGCACCATTGTTGACAACCTCTCTCCAAAGTACAATGAGCAATACACTTGGGAGGTTTTTGATCCGGCAACTGTACTCACTGTTGGCGTTTTTGACAACAGTCAGCTTGGAGACAAGGGTTCAATCGGTAATAAGGACCTGAAGATTGGGAAGGTTCGAATTCGTATTTCCACACTGGAAACAGGCCGTATTTATACCCACTCTTATCCATTGCTAGTCCTTCACGCTACAGGAGTTAAGAAAATGGGAGAGCTGCATTTGGCCATACGATTTTCGTGCACATCTTTCGCTAACATGCTCTGTGTATACTCGCGGCCATTGTTACCAAAAATGCACTATGTTAGGCCCTTTACTGTAATGCAACTTGACATGCTGCGGCACCAGGCTGTCAACATAGTGGCAATGCGACTAGGTCGCGCAGAGCCACCACTTAGAAAGGAGGTGGTGGAATACATGTCCGATGTGGACTCACACCTGTGGAGCATGCGCCGGAGCAAGGCCAATTTCTTCCGCCTAATGTCGATTTTCTCGGGACTATTCTCAGTTGGGAAATGGTTTGGGGATGTCTGCATGTGGAAGAACCCGATCACAACAGTGCTCGTGCATGTGCTTTATATTATTCTTGTTTGCTTCCCGGAACTGATTTTGCCTACAATTTTCCTCTACATGTTTCTAATAGGAATCTGGAACTTCAGGTACCGACCCAGGTACCCTCCCCACATGAACACAAAGATCTCACAAGCTGAGGTGGCACACCCTGATGAACTTGATGAGGAGTTTGACACATTCCCAACGAGTCGGAGCCCTGATCTGGTCAGACTGAGGTATGATCGTCTAAGAAGCGTGGCTGGTCGGATTCAGACTGTTGTGGGTGACATTGCAACGCAGGGGGAGCGTTTCCAGTCACTGTTAAGCTGGAGAGACCCTCGGGCTACAGCTATCTTCGTCACATTCTCCCTCATAGCTGCACTGGTGTTGTATGTGACTCCCTTCCTGGTGATTGCAGCCTTGGCCGGAATCTATGTAATGAGGCATCCAAGATTTCGTTATCGTTTGCCATCAGTGCCTATCAACTTTTTCCGTCGGCTGCCAGCTAGGACGGATAGTTTATTGTAAATTAGTGACTAGCTGTTGCTGACAAGGTAATGAGGATTTGGTATATGCTGTTCAATCTTTAGATTGTAACATAAATGTTTCCTTTCTGTTTCCCAAGTACTGTCTTGGCCTTGGAAGTAGTCAGTTATTAGATATCCAAGACCTCAAATAATTCCCATGTGACCTTTTTTATAAGCTGATGTATGCTTAATAAGCTCTGTTGGATTCCCCTCGGCCCCCCTTTCTCTCTTCCCCTTGTAGAAGCAGTTACAGAGAATTGCATCTCAAGGGATTTAAAATTCCAGGTAAAAATGATCCCTTTTGCTGAATGTATTAACTGAAGTTTCATGGTATCTGATTTTTATTTAAGTAGTGAATTTGAACAGAACTTGTGTTGTATGATCCAACATCCGTTAAATAGAGTTTAGATGTGTATATATGCATTCTTGAGCACCTTTTCTTTATAAGTCGGTTTTCAAGGATGAGTTTTAGCCATGAGTTCATATTTCTTTCTGTTTTTTTTTGAACCAACAATCAGTTCATATTTCATATGATAAATAATGAAGATCTAGAGTCAAGCCTTAACACCAGCATCATGGTCTTCCCCAATCTTGGGAACAAAGTATAGAACCATAACCTAACTTTGCAATTTGTACTCGGAGGCAGCTCAGAAGACAGCCTGTTGTTATGGTGGGTGGAAGGGCGACCTTCATGTGGCTTAATCGGGCCAACCCATCTGGGTAGCCGGCCAAAAACCACAGCCCATAACCGTAGTTTGCTGACCGGCTCAGGGCCCGATGGACCACCGAGCTAACGGGCCATTTGCACCCTACATAGGCTTACGGCCAACACGTTCGAAGGATCAATACGTGCATACCAGTAACCCATATGAAGAAGAAGGGTGTTAAAGTAATCCAATACACCTCTAATCTATGTTTTCGTAACCTTATTATATAACTCAAAAATTCCAACATATAATTATTAAGGTTCTGTCTACAAATACAACCCAACGTGCCCACAAACCTGAAGGCAACTCATTGTACTACGTGCATTCATGTTCATAAACCCTCTTCTCTAAGTCCACAACACAACCACCCTTCAGTAGAAAACCACGAGCAAAGCTCCACCAAGAAAATGTCTTCTTTTTTCCACCCTAAAAATGGCAATGTCTCTGTCCAAGAAGAAATCTAGACTACCCAAAAGAGCAGAAGCCAAACAACTAGGCTTGATTGATCTAATCTTACCAAAATTTCTCTTCCGATTGCCCTTCGCACTGCTTCTCTTGATCCTTATCTACCTATGGTCTTCCTCGACCACCATTATTTCCGGCAACATTGTTCATGTCTGTGTCTCTTCAAGGAAGCTCACCAACCTCTATTGCCTCTCTGCTGGTACCCAACCCAACTTTGAACTTCCAATTCCACTTCTGAATGATAGTTCCACTAACGAAGTTGCCGGTCTTGTTCATGAAAATCCACTGGAAAACAGCATTGAAAAGTATAGAGATGAGGAGCTGAAAAATGCTGTCAAGGTCATAAAAGAGCAGCTGCAAGAGCATCGATCATGGCAGTCGAATAAAAAACAAGCAAGTTGTGATGGGAGGGGCATATATGTGTATGAATTGCCACCGAAGTTCAATAAAGATTTGGTGGCTCAATGCGGTAACATGATTCCATGGATGGATTTCTGTAAATATTTCAGCAATGAGGCCTTGGGGGAGCCAATACCGGAGATTGGAAAATGCTGGTACCAGACTCATCAGTACTCATTGGAGCCAATCTTTCATGCTCGGGTTTTGAAGCATCCTTGCAGGGTGTATAATGAAAATGAGGCAAAGCTGTTCTATGTACCATTTTATGGTGGACTTGATATCCTGAGATGGCATTTCAAGAATGTGTCAAATGAAATTAAGGACACTTCGGGATTAGAACTTCTGAATTGGCTTGAATCACAGAGACACTGGAATCGAAATTCGGGTAAGGATCATGTGTTTGTTTTGGGAAAAATTTCTTGGGATTTCAGGAGGAAGAACAATTCATCGTGGGGTACTAGATTGTTAGAGCTTGATCAAATGCAAAACCCAATAAAGCTCTTGATTGAAAGACAGCCATGGCATGTTAATGACATTGGCATTCCACATCCAACCCATTTCCATCCTCGTACAGACGATGATATTGTCTCCTGGCAATCGAAGATAATGGGATCAAATCGGAGAAACCTCGTGAGCTTTGCCGGGGCTGCTCGTCCCGATACACCAGAGAACATAAGGTCATTACTTATCAAACAGTGCACTTCAATGGATCACAACAACACAAATTGCAGGTTTCTGGATTGCAGTTTAGGTGGTTGTGATCAACCCGAGTCTGTAATAAACCTATTCACAGCGTCTGAATTCTGCCTACAGCCTCCTGGTGATAGTCCAACGAGAAAATCAGTATTCGATTCTCTCATTTCTGGGTGCATTCCGGTACTGTTTGATCCTTTCACGGCTTACTATCAATATCCATGGCATTTACCTGAGGATCATGAGAAATATTCAGTGTTTATAGATCAGGAAGAGGTGAGAAACATGAAGGTGAATGTGGTGGAGAGGCTCATGAAGGTTCCTTTAAAGGAGAGAGAAGATTTGAGGAGATATATAGTATATGAGCTATTGCCTGGGTTGGTTTATGGAGACCCAAGTTCAGAGCTTGATAAGTTTCAGGATGCATTTTCTATTGCCATAAACAGTTTGCTTGAAAGAGTGAGCAGATTGGAATGACTTTTTTTTATGATGGTGCTGATCCATACATGCTGATTTATTTGTTAATTACTTTCAATTGTAAGCACAAATCATTTTATTCTTTTTCTTATATAATCATCAATCCGAATTGATAGTGAAACTCTCTGATACAATTTTGTTTTATTTCTTTGGGTTCTACTGTTCATGACTTGTATTCACACTCACGCATCTTGTACTGGTGTGACATGCAGCATACTGGGTACGCCTTGGGTGAAATTCTTTGATTATGCTCTATTGAGCGATGACATTATCATCACGGATCCGGTAATTGCAAAGTCCTATCTTGAAGTTATAGAAGAGTGTAAATTCACCAAATCAAAAGAAAAGTCCTTCATCTCTACCATGAGTGCTCTAGAATTTGCTAAGAATAGATCATTTGCAATTAATAATTCAAGTGATGACGGGTGCAGTGGTAGGTAGTGGTCCGAGATGAGCCCATATATGTATAAGGTCGATATGATGAACATTTATTTTTGAAGTCATATTTATTCATTAAATTAATTTCAGTAGTATAATCTTTTCTATTTAGTATCAACTTGAAAATGAATATCAAACATACTAATTGGGTAGAGAATTTGATGAATTAATGGTCAGAGTTACACAGTCATATGCCCCCCCCCCCCCCACCCCATCATTCCAAGGCACAGCATCAATTCTAGTTTTCTTTTGTTCATATTCATCCTCAATTTTTGCCCTGCCCATCTCTTCTGTACTAAATTCTATCTACATCCTTAGGTTTCCATGGTCCAGTTTGTAGTGAACGCAGTAGAATAAATAATACTATGATTTTTGATGTATCAAACTAAAAGTAGCACTCCGAATCCACCGAGAAAATATATAAATATTTTAAAATATAATATTATTCAATGATCAACTCGTAATACAAATGGACAATATAAATAAGAACAATAAAAACCTTAATCGTTCTCCAAATAAAAATAAAAATTCTTAAAATAATAAAAAATATTAAAAATAAAAATATGATTATTATTAATTATTAATTTTTAAAATAATAAAAAACGAGATTTTGAAGATTTAAACCATAAAATTCAGTCCAAAACCGATGAATTTTTTAGGCTAAAACAAGCTCGACACAGATAAATATATGGAGGGTTCTCTGTCTCCTAAAAAACCCGTCACCTAGTATCTGCTAAAATGATCTAAGCCGTCCAATATCAACGGAATTCCAAAGACCGACGCGATTGAACAACATAAACCCACGTGGCAATGATATGAAGCACACACGTCACACGTGTATAGTCGCATCTTATCAACCCACATAGGTTTGACTCTTTGAGCCTTGCCGAGTATCACTTTCTCTCTACATGTCCATCTATTTAAGCTGTTCTATCTGTTCTTCGGCTCGCGTTCTCATCCGAAGAAATCTGAGTGTAAGAAAGCAATTGTTTTGGATTTCCAGGCAAACCCAATTCAATTACTTCAATACTCCTTCGATTCCCTTGTTTTGTCAGCCAATCAAAACAGGGTTTTTTCCTTCTTCATCTTCTTCTGATAATTTTAAGGGGTCTGTGTTGTTGGGTTTGAGATCAGAACACACAATGGCCAGCCAATCATCCCAGCCGCAATCAGTCCACGAGTTCACTGTCAAGGTTGGTTACCTTTTCATATCTTCATTTGAGTCTTCATCCTATAGCTATTCTTGCAAGATGTAGCTTACTTGTACATGTATGTATGCATTATGTTTCTCAGTTGATTAGCTTGTGTTTTTTGGTCTTGAATGAGTTTAGGTTTCAGACAATTTCTACTTTAGGACGTGGTGAATGTTGAATTGCAACTAGTTATCAAAAAACAGAAAAAAAAATGTCAGATTGGAGACGCCGTTAATCTCAGAAGTTGATTCGATTCCCCTTTGACTGGATCTCTCTATGTAGTGGTCAGCATTCTAGAAGCTTCGCCTAAGTTCTGGCCATAGACTTTGTCTTTCCGGCTGGGTTGTTGTTATTGGCCTTGTAGGTAGTCCTTGTTGGATAGTCTTAGGTTATCTCAATTGAGAGTCCTGTGTCTTATCTAGACTGCTGGCAGCCTTAGCTAGAGCCGGAACGATTTTGAGTCATTCCGAAAACCCCTCCTTGGATCCTAGGAACGAGGATTTACGGTGCTTTAGAACGTCATTTTGATCCCAAGATTTCTGGTCCCTTTTGTATTTCTAAATCTCACATTTGAATATGACTATCCAAGAGGACCCTATTGGAAAGGGAGACAAAATGCAGAGGGAAGGAAAGTCATGGAAGAGGCTGACTAAGTGAATTAATATACTAATACTATTATAGAATCTTATGGAATCACGGACGGTATTTTCTATATCTTCTCTGTCTACAAGGTGAATGGCTTAGCTTATAGCAGAGAATGTTTGCCACCTTTTTTTTTTCCCTCTAAAGCCCTTCGCTCCACTCTTTTTAGCACTTCTAATCAGACTTAGTTGAACTAACCAGAAACGACATAGATCAAAGGGTCGTTCTTGTACTTGTCTCCAAAGTGTGTGATCCACTGATTCACTGAGTGACTCCTCCTTATCGCTAGAGTCCCTATCTCTTAATGTCCTATCAAATTGGGGGTAGGATTGATTAGCTTAAGGACTAATTGAATAGATATTTGCTACACATAAGAGAGATATCGCGAGAAGGTAACGTTACAGTAGCAGAGATCTAGTTTGTTTCTGTGAAAAGGCGGAAGATCCCACATCCGTTTGCCTATCTCTACCCTCTCCTCTCCAAAGGCTAAGGAGAGACTGCATCCCTTTCTTTTGGTAGCTCTTTTGCTTTCCCGCCGTGTTACACAACTAAGGGGACATGTTTCGAGTAAGCGGTTCCTTCTCTACCCTTTCCTCTCCTGTCAAAATAATCCATTGTGCCTTACTATAATAAAAGTTATGTCTTTTTGTTAATGATTTGTTCGTTATATGTGATATGTTAGTGTATTTGCCATTGTTTTATGTATTGTTCTCAAAAAATCATGTATCAGCCCCATCCACAAATCCAACCCCCCCCCCCTTACAAACAAAAAAAAGTGCCCACATAACAAAACAAAACAGGTCATCGATCGTGCATCGATTTGGTACAAGGTATGGGTACGGTACTTCTTTCAGTACGTGGTACGGTGGAATGGACTTAATATGCGACATGGTGGATTAGGCTTTGTTGGTATTTTATTTTGGGTCGTGGTTCATTTTTGTAACTTCTATATAGAATAATATATTCGTATACACATAGTTAATAAATATTTATTTTATAATTCTAATACATGTTGTCAAAACATGAGTTTAAAGAACACCAAAATAAAGAAATAATAAGTTAGAGTTATGATTTAGGATTAGTTGTTATGATGTGAGATTATTTAGATTACAAATTAATTTGCGATTTGAGTTGCAATTTGAGGTTGAGATTTTATGCCCTATGGATTACAAACCCACCTCATTTTAGGTCGTATGACCCTGGTTCATGAGACGCTAGGCATGACTACAATCTTGGTATCTATGGGCCAACCCTCGACAGTTGGAAAAAATTTGTGTGTGTCTATGAGGTCATCCTCACCATTTCAATATCACCCCCAAAACGCTTTTTGTTTTGTTAAATGTTCCATCAAAGGGATTTTTGTCACAAACCGAGTGCTACATCCATCCCTTCACGCTCAAACCACAAATATATAGTTGTGTATCTATGTCTGAATTTTTTAAATTTGTCATGTATGGTTCCCATTGTCTGTGTACACTGATTATATGATTCCGAAGCAATTGAAGTAATAAAGTGTTACTGTTACCGTTATATGCTTCGACTCTTAAGTGTCTGGAGCAAGGAGACATTTTAGCTCCTTAGTACAAAAGTATATGCTCTTTACTATAGGGGAGAAGGGGTTTATATTATATTTTTTGAAGATTTATCTAAAATAACCACTACATGTTGATTTATTAGATGCTTTCATCTTACTATCCTTGCCATTCTTCTTTGATTGAATATGCTAATTTGATTGGAATATGTTAATAAGCTTGCGTTTTTTGGTCTTGAATGAGTTTAGGTTTAAGACAATTTCTACTTTAGGATGTGGTGAATGTTGAATTGCAACTAGTTATCAAAAGCAGAAAAAAAAATGTCAGATTGGAGACGCCGTTAATCTCAGAAGTTGATTCGATTCCCCTGTGACTAGATCTCTCTATGTAGTGGTCGGCATTCTAGAAGTTTCGCCTAAGTTTTGGCCATAGACTGTCTTTCCGGCTGGGTTGTCGTTGCTGGCCTTGTAGGTAGTCGTTGTTGGATAGTCTTAAGTTATCTCAATTGAGAGTCCTGTGTCTTATCTAGACTGCTGGCAGCCTTAGCTAGAGCAGGAAGGATTTTGAGTGCTTCCTAAAACCCCTCCTTGGATCCTAGGAACAAGGATTTGCTGTTCTTTAGAACAACATTTTGATCCCAAGATTTCCAGTAACATACTTTCGTATTTCTAAATCTCACATTTGGATATGACTATCCAAGAGGACCCTATTGGAAAGGGAGACAAAATGCAGAGAGAAGGAAAGTCATGGAAGAGGTTGGCTAAGTGAATAATATACTGATGCTATTATAGAATCTTATGGAATCACGGACGGCATTTTCTATATCTTCTCTGTCTACAAGGTGAATGGCTTAGCTTATAGCAGAGCATGTTTGCCACCTTTTTTTCCCTCTAAAGCCCTTCGCTCCACTCATTTTAGCACTTCTAATCAGACTTAGTTGAACTAAGTAGAAACGACATAGATCAAATGGTTGTTCATTAGCCCAGGTGTTTGTCTTCAAAGTGTGTGATTCACTCATTCATTGAGTGACTCCTCCTTATCGCTAGAGTCCCCATCTCTTGATGTCCTATCAGACTAGGGGTAGGAATGATTAGCTTAAGGACTAATTGAACAGATATTCGCTAAATAGAAGAGAGATATCGGGGGAAGGTAACGTTACAGTAGCAGGGATTTAGTTTGTTTCTGTGAAAAAGCGGAAGACCCACGTCCATTTGCCTATCTTTACCCTTTCCTCTCCAAAGGCTAAGGGAGAGACCGCATTCTTTTCCTTCGGTAGCTCTTTTGCTTTTCTGTCATGTTACACAACTAAGGGGATAGATTTCGAGCGAGCAGTTCCATCTTTGCCCTTTCCTCTCCTCTCAAAATAATCCACTACGCCTTACTATAATAGAAGTTATGTCTTTTTGTTAATGATTTGTTCATTGTATGGGATATGTTAGTGTATTTGCCTTTGTTTTATGTATTGTTCTCAAAAAATCATGGATCAGCCCCATTCACAATTCCCCCACCTCCCCCCAAAAAAAAATAAAATTGCCCAATCAACAAAACCCAGAATAGGTCATCGATCGTGCATTGATTTGGTACAAGATATGGGCACAGTACCTCTTTCAATACGTGGTACGATGGATATGCGAAATGGTGGAGTAGGCTTTGTTGGTTTTTTGTTTTGAGTAGTGGTACATTTTTGTAACTTCTATATATAGTTAATAAATATTTATTTTATAATTCTAATAAATGTTGTCAAAATATGAGTTTAAAGAGCACCAAAATAAAGAAATAACAAGTTAGAGTTGTGATTTGGGGTTAGTTGGTATGATGTGAGATTATTTAGATTATGAATTAATTTGCGATTTGAGTTACAATTAGGGGTCGGGATTTTAAGCCCTATGGATTACAAACCCACCTCATTTTAGTTTGTGTGACCCCGGGTCATGAGATGCTAGGGATGACTACGATCATGGTATCTATGGGCCAACGCTCAACAGATGGAAAAAATTTGTGTGTGGCTATGAAGTCATCCTCACCATTTCAATGAGATCACCCCCAAAATGCTTTTTGTTTTGTTAATGTTCCGTCCAAGGAATTTTTGTCGCAAGCCCAAGTGCTATATCCTTCCCTGCACGCTCAAACCACAAATATATAGTCGTGCCTCTATGTCTGAATTTTGGAATTTGTCATGTATGGTTCCCATTGTCTGTGTACACTGATTATATGATTCCGAAGCAATTGAGGTAATAAAGTGTTACTGTTACCTTTAGATGCTTCAACCCTTACGTGTTTGGAGCAAGGAGACATTTTATCTCCTTAGTACAAAAGTATATGCTCTTTACTACAGGGGAGAAGGGGTTTATATTATATTCTTGAAGATTTATCTAAAATAACCACTACATGCTGATTTATTAGATCCTTTCATCTTACTATCCTTGCCATTCTTCTTTGATTGAATATGCTAATTTGCATTTGGTTTTAAACTGCGGGTTGCAGGATGCTAGAGGGACCGATGTGGATCTTAGCATTTATAAGGGAAAGGTCCTGCTGATTGTCAATGTTGCATCCCAATGGTAAGTTGTGGCTTTCCATCTTATTCTAATCCCTCGTTGTTTAAGGAACCTATTTATTCAATACAAGGGGTCAGTGTTGGTGCTATGAGTACCCATTTTACTTAAGACTAAGGAAATATAAGAACTTAGCTCCTCAAGTACCTTTCTATTTATCATAACGATGGAGGTCACTCCTGTCTCTTATACTCTCCTTTGCTTATCTTGCTGGGAGCTGTGGACAACACTGCTTTTCCTAGTCCACGAGAAGAAGTTGGACAAGGAATTTAGTTAGACTTGTTAGTGCCCTCAAATGAGAAATTGTGACTAAAGCTCCCCAAAGCCGATATTCTTTACCAGATTCTCTTTTCCAGTGTTATTTATTAATAATGATTGAAATCCCATTGTATTAACTTGGTTGTGATTTTGCAATTTTGAAGAAAATGTTGCTGATCTAATCTTTCTGATGCAGTGGCCTCACTAATTCAAATTACACAGAGCTGACAAAGCTGTACGAGAAGTACAAGGATCAAGGTTTGGTTCTGGCTTACTCTTTTGGCTACATGCATGTGATGCAAGTGCAAGCAAAGACTTATCTTGCTATAGTATCAGAAGCTTATCTCATGGCAATTGTTTTTCTCTTTCCGGACTTTCTGTTATAGGTTATTTTGAAATTACCCCTTTCTTATCTTCCCTTAAAATGGCAATTCAGTTGACTGTTGGCAGTTGGGAACGCCCTATATTTCAAGTGCCTGCAATTTTTCACAGCGTTATCACCCCCATGTCCTCTTTTCTGAACCCCTTATTGTCATTTCAGATTCTTTAGAAGGTTTTTATCATTGTTTTTCCTTATTACAGGCCTCGAGATTCTGGCTTTCCCATGCAATCAGTTTGGTGCACAGGAGCCTGGAAGTAATGAAGAGATTCAACAGTTTGCTTGCACTCGCTTTAAGGCTGAATATCCCATATTTGATAAGGTAGGAATTGAATAGAAGCTTCTTGTTGCTCTCTCAAATTGAGATTTCTTGGCTTACTACACTTCTGCGGAATAGTGACAAAATTCTCGTTTTCTTTTCACTGATGCTTTCCCAATATCTTGAAAAGCTTAATAATAATTCAAAGCCAAAAACCTTCTGTGCACAGAATAAATGCCTTACTTGAGGGTGAACATTTAGTGTTGTCAAAGTTGAAACACCTAAAGGCTTCATGCTATGGGGCCAGGGAGGTTCCAAGAGTATTGTTATTGCATATTCTATTTTATTAGCTGAAAAATAAATTCTCAAGAGTTGTACAAATATATTCACATGGAGATCTTGTGAAGTTTGATAAATTTTCACCAATTTGCCCGATGCCCTTAAAGCTGGACTAACCATTTATATTGGTATCGATCAATTAGGTTGATGTCAACGGTTCAAATACTACTCCAATATACAAGTTCCTGAAATCGAGCAAAGGGGGACTTTTCGGAGATGATATAAAGTGGAACTTTTCCAAATTCCTAGTTAATAAGGAGGGTCATGTTGTTGACCGCTATGCTCCCACGACTTCTCCTCTTAGCATCGAGGTAAAACCATTTACAAAATTACATAGTTTTTCGAGTTCAAAATTGAGGCAGACCTTATTGTGGAAGCTCTATATGTGTATGTGATGAACTTAACACTCTCTTTTTATTTTATTTTTTTTCCTTTTGACAGAAGGACATAAAGAAACTACTTGGCAATGCTTAAACGCTGGGAAGACGTTTCAGCACAAATAAAAGAATATGTCTGCTGGTTTTCTAGCCTTTGAAAGTTATGTAAGAATTGCATGAATGTACTTTTGAGAGAGTTTCTTGTTCAGTTAAATTTGAGATTTTATGGTATTATGGGCGTAATAATTTAACCAGTGCGGAGGCTGTGTTTTGTTTTCTGTTTATGAGGTTGAATGATTTAGTTTATGTTTGTATGTCTTACCCCTCGAGGATGGGTTTTGGCTTATGAGGTTGAATGATTTAGTTTATGTTTGTATGTCTTATCCCCTTGAGGATGGGTTTTGGTGCAGTGGTGAGGTGGTTCTATTGTGATCTGGGCGGCACTTATTCGAGTCACGAAGCAATCTTTTCATATGTTGGTGTTTAGGTTATATATTTGATTACCTTTCGACCCTTTGCAGTGGTGGTAGTTCGCAGCATAGTAAAAGAACTTGAAGAGGGGAAGGGGGGGAAACAAGGTAAAACGGTTTATTTCGCGCTTTCACCTTTTAAGCTTTACTAAACAAGTGAGAAATTTGATCTTAAGAAAAAAGGGGGTTTAGTGCACTATGGCATATTGAATAATAAAAAAAAAACTCTCAATGTTGGTATCAACTTGTGCTGGTTGATAAGAGCTAGTAGGTTAATGTTGCTCAACTTTTTATTCAAATGACTGAATTAGTACTTCATTAGGCAGATTGGTCGAGTTTTTGAATTGAAAATTTACCAGTTTTTTTTTTAATTTGGCCAGTTTTCTGCAATGACTCACACTACGCAGAAGTGGTCGGACACAATAAAAGCTTTAAATGTTTGAATAAATTAGACAAATGACTATCAAACTATTACTCTTATGTTAGTTAAACTTTTAAGCTAATTTTTGTATCTATTGAACCCTTAGTAATCGTATGAGTGTGATTTTTACATATTTTTATTCTTTAGTCATAATCTAGCTTCATAATCAATTATTTTTCAAGTGTAATTCAGTAAAATACTCATGTCCACATGGTTATTATGTAACTTTTTCCTTTGACAAAACTAATGAATGTTGACAAAAGGGTATAATTATTCAAATTAGCGAGTGTATAGATGCAAATTGACATAAAAATTAGTTCAGGTTTCATTGACACGAGGATCAGAGATAATTTGTGGGCCATTTATATAGTTTATTCCAAATGTTATACAAGAGGCCAAGGGCATGTCGGACATTTCAAAGAACAAACATACACGTGTAGCTAGACAACTGGTTGGAAGGCAGAATTATACTTCGAACCCTGAAAGTTTTGAAAAATACCCTCAAAGGATTAAATGTTTTCTCTTATACACTTAATGTATTAAAATTGTTGTAATGTCTAATGTAATAACAGAAACTGAGTTACCGAAGTATCACATTATAACAATTTTAATAAATTAAGGGTATAATATAAAAAACATTAATATTTGAAGGTATAAATTAAAATTTCCTAAATTTTTCGGGTATAAAGTGTGATTCCCCCATCTTTCTATGCCTGCGACCTCTGAACTCTCCCCGCTCACTGTTTTCGGTTTCCAACTTCAAGATTTGAGGAGTGGGTTCAAAGTTCCAGCGGGCATCGTCACTTCGAGTTATAATAACTACGATGGCAAGCCAATTTAAGATAGACCCAGAATCAGTCTACGACTTCACAGTCAAGGTTAGTTTCTATTCAGTCCTAAACCACTTTATCTGTGTCTTGAGTATGTGTTCATTCCTGATCAGACAAAGGGTGTTGCAGCGTTTATGCACACAAACCTTGAACTTCTCTAACGTGCTTAATCTTCTGGTTTATTGGGCTTTCGATGAAGGATAAGAAGGTCATGAAACTGTGAGTGTGTTTGCACATGAACCTTAGTTTGGGTTTGTAATTTTAGGAGCGAAGCAAAAAGTGGGACATCCGAAGGAATTAATGTTGGACTTACTGGATCCTTAGCAATTCATGCTAGGATTGGTCATTGGATTCTCTAGAAAGCCCTTTTTATGAAATATCTGAGAGATCAAAAGGGGTTCGGGTGCTTTATTTATCACCCTTTAGAGATGAAAACTATATTGTAGCGGCATTGGCTTTGGTTTTCTGAATTTTTGAGTGGTTTCAAGAACATTGGATGTGGTAAATAAGTGTGAGGATTATTAACTTCTCTCTCTCTCTCTAATTTTCTTATTTAAGTTTTGACTTCCCCTTTTTCCCATAAAATTGCTAGTCTACAAATGTTGTGATTCCATTGAAAACCCCCAATAACCATAAATTATACTCTCTCCGTTCCTAAATATCTGTCATTTAAGGTTTTTGTACAGGGATTAAAAAACTATTAATTAGTTCTAATATGAGGAAAAAATAATTACACAAGATTAAAATACCATTATTCAATATATATTGAGAAGGAAAGGAATATAAAAGGCATTTAGCCTCTACCAAATCTAATGCATTGAAAAGTTAAAAGGTAAATTTAGAAGAAAAAATATTAATTTTGTTTTGGTTTCATTAAATGACAGATATTATGGAATAAAAAAATTATGTAAAACAATAGATATTTAGGAACGGAGGAAATAGTTTTGATACAACTCAGAGGGATAAATTTTGGTATCATGCGGATCTCTCAAAGTTGAACCAAACTAAACCAAATCTTATAACCCAATCATTTGGGATCTCTCAAAGTTGAACTGAGCCTTTAAAATAGTTTGAAAAGGGAAGCCAATGCACAATTTATTTCCCTTAATAGCATGTTTGCTCTTTCACTTTCAGGATGCTAAGGGAAATGATGTAGTTCTTAGCATATATAGGGGGAAAGTCTTACTCATTGTCAATGTTGCTTCCAAGTGGTACACTCATCTGCTTTCCTTTGCTTTTACATATGTTGTGAATCTCATTTGTGAATATTTCAAAATTGGTGCCTCTTTGATTTTGGGGGCTAATCTTGTCCATTTCATTTCACACCCAATTCAATTCATCCCCCTTTTACATCTTTTTTTGTCATCGTACTTGTTATTTACCCTTTGTTGTTTGATTCATTGTGGCAGTGGGATGACCAACTCAAATTACACGGAGCTGAATCAGTTATATGAAAAGTACAAAGATAAAGGTTTGTTTTGGAGTTTCTCCTCTCTTTTATAGTGCTTTCATAAGTTTCATTATAACCTACACAAGAGATTGTCAACCCCCAATCCTATGCAAGCAAACCAGGCAGGGTAGCACCCTTGCACCATTGGCTCTCATGCTTATCTGGGCTATAGTTTATCCATATTCATCGTTTTGTTGTCAAAAAAAAATTTCATTTTTATAGACTACTTGAGTCAAATTGCTTGCAACATGCATAACCCAAAAGAAGTTTCTTCTCCCTGCTAGCATCTATGATTGGATCAGAGTTCCATCTTACAATTTACTCATCTGTTACATTGGTGTAGGATGTCTTGAATTGATCTTTTATCTATTGTCACAATAGGACTGGAGATACTAGCATTTCCATGCAATCAGTTTGGTGAGGAGGAACCTGGAAGTAATGATCAAATCTTAGATTTTGTCTGCACTCGTTTCAAGTCAGAATTTCCCATCTTTGACAAGGTAAACCCCACACAAAACATACGTATGCTTTCTTTATGCTCAAGCAGACTCAAACTGCCGTTCTAGACAACTCTATTGCACCTAGAAGTTTCAGTTTCAGACTTTCAGTCAATCACATGTCTGTGGGTTTCTTTTCCTTGATAAATAGTGTTTTGTTTATTTTCACAGAAGGTGAATGCTGTGCAAACATTTTGTTCACTAGCTTGCTATTTTACTTCATCATTTTGGCTGACCAATGAATTTTTCTTGGCTCGAAGTATGTCTTCTTGCATAATTTTTGGAGAGTTTCATGTGGCTTGTAGTCATTGTGTGGATTCCTTGTCCACCGTTGATTTGTTTCTTGTAAATTTTTTCTTTTGACTATCAATAAAATGTCGTGTCTTATAAAAAAAAATTATGGGAATGGCTATATGTCCACCTTGCATCAGTCTGAACTATATTAGCGGAAGATTGATGGAAGATAACCAAAATACTTCCATTTTAGAACGTAGTTTAATGTTTTAAACCTTAATATAACTATTTTTTGATTGTGTGGTATTATGCTTAAATTAACCTTCTGTTCTTGTATTAGATTGAAGTGAACGGGGATAATACTGCGCCGCTATACAAGTTCTTGAAGACAGGAAAATGGGGAATTATTGGAGATGATATTCAGTGGAATTTTGCTAAGTTCCTGGTTGATAAGAATGGGCAGGCTGTCGATCGCTATTACCCCACAACTTCCCCTCTCACTATTGAGGTAAGAACCCACTTTTGCCAATCACCTAATTCTGGGAGATTGGAAATTCATATAGGTCATATTTCTTCTGTGGCTTTATGCATACTAAATGGTGTATATATATGCAATGTAATTCTTCTGTCTTTTTGATATATTGCAGACAGATGTGAAGAAGCTCTTGGGGCTCCCATAAGCACCATGCGTTAGAGGTCGTAGTCGCTGTAGAACACCAGATGCTTGCTTTTCTTTTTTGTGTAATATGTGCCACCATTGAAATGTGGAAGGTATGCTGGATAAGGTGGTATTGATATGGATAACTGAGTTTCATTTCTTTGGGTACAAAAAAGAACTCCAATAGATCTTCAGAAGTAACAAAGAAGATTCAGTTTGAAGGAAACACTAGAACAAAATCTTGCTAGTTTCAATTCAAGTGTATTGTACAGACAACAGTTCAAGCTGTTGGCTCTGTACAGAAGATGTTGTGGTCATCCCATGGTTGAGTCACTTTCATCACCAAGTTGATAAAGCCGCCACCGGCATTTTGCCCTAGGGGGTCTCATTGTGACCTCAGGAAGATGCACCACCATCTCCACCCTGCTCAGTGGAGTTAGCTTCATGCGACTCTAATCAGAAAGGCTCAGAAATCGTAACCCAATTGGGCTGGCTTCATAACCTGATATATCCACACATAACAAAAGAGCATCCATTTGGCCAAGAAATTTTGAAGGATGTAAGTCTTAAATGCATTAGCCACGATCACATAAACCGAAAGAGTATGTTGGTAGTTGGTTACAACAGAATTAAGGCCCAAAGAACCATCACTCTTCTTAGTTCGCTAAGAAAACTCAGTTCAATCTGATGACAATACTCCTACTTGCTACAAACAGAACAGTACAGTTGAGCTCCAACCACTAGATTTCTCTAAAATGGTTACTTAAGAACCTAGACTGTGACATTTGTTACGGAATAGGTTAGCACAATCCATCATCCACGGGTGGGTAGACAAGGCGAGTTGCACAGTTCATTTACAACACCACTTATATACAAAGTCACCATGTTTGTATCTATTGCAGCAAATTGTGTCATCCGCGAGTCAGGTCAATTTCTGCATGAGGATTTGTCAGATCTAACCGTGACTTTGGAGGCCAATCATTCGTAGCAGAATTTGGACTGAGATTATGACCAGGGGCTGCATTAGGTGCAGATGAATTTTCACCAGACTGAGCAGTAGAATTGTCACCATTGGGACCAGCCTCCGTTTTGTTCTTTGTCTTAGAACCACCATAAACAAAACTGCATACAACCACCTGCAGGAAGTGACATTCGTTATGGAGTCTATTCTTGAAACTCCTAAAAAGTACATGAACGTGTACTTCATTCCAGTTCCCATCCATTAAAACAAAAACACTGGACATGCAAATAGCTATGCACCAAGTGTGTCCTTCCCCACAGCCTCCACAAAATAATCTTATATGCATCACTTGAGGCATTCAAACTGGTTGCCCCGCCATGCAACGAACTCAAATTGCTTTAGTTTGGCCATACAACACAAAAAGATGCAAATATGACCACAAGCACACAAGACAAAAACCTCTGCTCCCAGGGAGATGGGAGTGAAAAAAGAAAAAGAGGCAGTTGAATTACCTGAGCTGGGCTTGCTGCAACAAGCTTACCACCTATTGCACCTCCAATGATGTGGCCATCAGGACTACAAATAGAGATACTTAAACCACCAGTCCGGTTGCGGGGGCCACCATTTTCAGCAAGCAGGTAAGATCCTGACAAGCAGAGTATCTCAAAACGGCCCTGAAAAATTGATGAAGCAAATGATTTTCTTTTGAGTAGAGAGGAAAGAAAAAGAAAGGAAGGGAATTGTAACAAATTTCTTGAGAAATGGAACATTAATGCAGTAATCACAGCAAAATCACTGGAAAATATAGACATCATCAACTGAATGCATGCAGACAACTTCTTCTCCATCTTATTTATGATCTGGACTTGCAAAACAAAAAAAATACAAGAAGAAATATCCAGGAAAAGACTTCCCAATACTAGGCATTTTCAATCAACAATAGCAATAACTGTCCCATATTTAGTTCTGCAGCGTGAAACCAACTGAAAAATCAATTAAATAATAAAACTTAAGCAAGTGGTGAAAACAGTGAGAGAGCAAAGGTATAAGCAAAAGAGTAAAAGGTGTTAAGTAAAAGCTCTAACTGAGTTGTCTTAGCTAGCCATTTCCGACTAGCTTTCTTTGACTTGTGCTGAGCGGACTGAAAATGCCCACCACCCTCCTTTCATCTCAATTTCTCCAAACCCGCATTTTATAGTGTTCTTTGCACACTTCACTAGGTGATATGGGCCGAAGCCCTTTGACTAGGGACCCCTCATCTCTTCTCACCTTATCTCATTGGGGCCATCACGATCCATCCTTCTAGGGATACACATCCTTGTGTGGTACCAGTCCCCAACCACGAGGTAAGTTTGGCTCCAATGCCAACGCAATCCCGAACCCATCAGTATATAATGTGGCATTTTTCAACTCTAATACTTGTTTCTGAATTTATGGATGAATGATAAACAAGAAGATAATGATTAGAGGAATAAGGAAGCTAATTAAGGTGTGAAAATCGACAAAAGAAAGGAGAAAGGAAGGCTGAGTAAATCAGATTAGCATAAAGCTTATAACATGGTGAATTGGGATTTCCTACAATCAAAGAAAAATCCTAAATCCATGTTATCTAGGGAAGAATCAAGTCAAACATGGCAGAGATGGCTCCAGTGCTATGCTTCCACATTAGTTATGCAATTCTAGTTAAGAGCTCTCAAACGCAAGATCAGGCAAGAAGACCCCCTCTAAAATTTGCAACATAATTTTGCACAAAAAAACTCTTCCAAAATTCTACATTTCCCTCCTCTTCAATAAACTGCATTTCCTGGTACGGGCTTTGCAAAGGACAATCAATCATTATACCATTCAGGAGGAACAAAATAAGGTCACGAGCTGAAATCAACCATGTCAATGTCTTAATTTTTAACGACTCAACAAAACTGACATCTTGACATACGCCTGAACAAAACACAAGTACCTGTGCCAATATAAAATTTCCTGCAAAGTATACCAACTAAACCATTGTGGTCATAGCAGTGCTCTGATTTTGGTGAGTATAATACCAGCCACAATTGACTGCTCTAATATTAAAAATAACTTAGAGAAAGGACTGTATACAACTTATGGACACCCCCAAAAAGGAAACCACTACAACAAATTTATTACAGCTTATGTATGCTTGCACTATATTACATTCCTGCCATATGTAACAGCCATCAACATAGATTGCATTTGCAGAAATTCAATTTACAATAATTTAAAGGCCAGTTAAGCACAAAATATTTAAGAGAAGAGATTTCATGGATGCATATGATAATTCTGCAAAATAAACTGACTTTCATGTGATTAGTCAGGATGACAGATTGGAAAATTTTGACAAAAGGTACATGGCATCAAAACTAATATTCCGTGTACAATAATAAAAAGGGATTATCGGGTGGTTCAACCTCATAAGTCACCGTGCCGCCAGAAGGCTGACATAGTTGTACTGCCGAAACTGTGCCATTAGCTGACAAGATACATAGAGCCCTCGGCCTGTGTTGTGCAAATGAAAGCACCTTCATCGCAATGTCCTACAGACGACGAGAATGCAGTTATATTTGCATTCCATAAGGAGTTGGTCAATAATCAAAACTGGTTAGTTCATCTCTACCAATACACTAAGCTTTGGAAGTAAGTTCAAAAGTTATATTGAACACGAAAATGACATCATGAGCCTTAGAACATTAGTTTAACAACTACTTTTCAACACATATATTAACATCAGCAGCAGCAACATCCCCCTCCCTACTTTGTCCTCTCTGCGATGTGTGTCAACATAAAATTATGCAACCATGTAAAATGTAAAAATTAGAATATTCTACTATAACTGTAGGAAACAACAGGTGTAGCAAAACTAAGCAGGGCACTTTTCCATAAAAAAACATCTTTACAATTCCTCCAACATTTGGGTTTTTCTTAAGGGTTTTTGAAAAGTGGGGTGTTTCTATTTTATGTTAAGGAAACCTTATCAAATTTATTAGAATTCACCTCTGAAGCGAATAAAATATGTAATAACTAAAGCTCTTGCATTTGTGCACATCGACACATAGCGACTCTTACTCCAATGGAGACATTTCTTACAGGTTAGTAGAGAAATTATATACCTCTCCTGCTCCAATATGTATGACATGAGGTGTAAAAGCCAATCCTGCAGAAGTGTTCATCCATTCACCTGGCAGAAGCAATTAATCATTAGGCAAAAAACATCATTTACTCCAACCACTGGCAAAACTAAGAGAAAGAGAACAAGAAAAAAGAAAGCAGGATCCCCAAATTTTGGTGTTATGGTGCAAAAACCACAACAACATATAAAAAAAGTTGACGCAGAATACTAAGACCACAAATATGGAAATCAGCATCCTATTTTTATCTGTATCTCAAATACGGATGTCGTAAATACAGATGGCCATAGAAATCAATCTTAACAACACGAAACAAATCCAACACTAGAAGTCATGGCCTTAGGCTTCACTGTACCACATCAGTTCCACATTTCTAAAACACGATTACTTGAGAATAGTTCTACCTTTGTTATTTTTATAAATGACAATCTCAGAGTCGTTATTCATGACCATATATGCCAAACAGATGACATTTCAGAACTGTGATACAACTGACATGATTTATCCCCCAACAGTTCAAAGAATTCTACGTAAGAAGAAAAGAAAATTCACCCACTCACAAAAAATCACAAATCCTGAAAGCTGTGTCAATACACAAAATCTTCAAGTAGATTAAATATGCAAAAAAATCTTCAAAAAGACCTCATATTAGTTGCAGGTTGTGTCACATCACATTAATAATGCAAAAGAATTATAAAATGCTATCACTATCAATATGCATTATACAGAAGAAAGATCAAACCCTGAGAACAAAAAGATACATCATTACAATCAAAACCTATTTCTAAGATAGTTAAGTTAAAAGAACAAGTCATCAATTTATCAAATACAATCCCACATATATCAAACGAAGGTAACATTCATATAATTTAAAAATTTACCAAGAGAAGCTAATTGTTGCTTTCTCCCACTCCCAGGTGGCCGCCCTCTACCACGTCTGGGGGTTAGCGACCCTGGAGAAGGCGTGGACGACATCGGAGACAGTAACAGAGACATGTTGGCACTGTCTGGACCATATTTTCGAGGCCTCCCTCTTTTCTTCTTTCCAGTATCGCCCGGTGACACACCACTGGGGGCCACACCCATGGCAATGCCATGAGGAAAACTGGGTGATGGGTTTTCTACTTGGTATGTGGAACCCACATTGGACTGAAATGAAATGTTAGGGTTTGAAGAGGTTTTGAAGCCTGGTGGGGCTGGTAAACCAGTCTGTGTCCCAGATCCAGAAGCAGGAACAGAACCAGAAGGTCCAGACGCAGAACCAGACCCACTAACCCCTCTGTTGAGGTAGTAAGGTGGTGTTCCATCCATGCATTTACTCAGTAAATTCTCCACACACACAAAACTATAATATTTTTTGCCAAAATATAAAATATATATGGGTTCAAAACTCCTCTAGCCTGAATTTAACAACCTACCCACCAAGAAAGAGAGTAAAATTATCTAAACAAGAAACCAAATACACCAAAAAAAACCCAAACTAATAACTTAAAAGAGATTTCTTGGCAAGGGTTTAACTTGGGTTTTTCTTAAAACAGTAAAAAAAAAACATAGAAAAATGAAATCTTGAAGCCTCCACTCTACAAGAAAAAGAAAAGGGCGTAAGAAATTAATGTCAAAGTATGAAGGATATCACTAGAAAAAACACGCAGCAGAGCTTACTGAGAAGAATGTAGAAAGTCTGAAGCTAAGAGGTCCCTCAAATCAAGGCTTAACAGGTTAAAGCCTAACAGTTGTTGAACAGTGATCAAGAACATCAGGAAGAAAATAAAAAACAAAAATGGAAAACCCTAGATTTGAAATGAAGGGAAAGAGAAGGAAGAGTTTTGGTAAAGAAAGAGAGTAAGGAGGGTAAAGACAAAAGTGAATTGAAATAGAAAATGCTGAGCTTTTGAATTTAAAGTAAGTGAAGACCACTCCTTTATTTATCAAATAATATTTTATTGGGGTTTGAAGAAGGGTTAGTAGTGAGGGCAGTAGTTTCTGACTTGGAGCTCTCTTTGGGACAGTGGGGTGCACCTAAGTACCAACATGTCCTTATCAGGGTTGCCATATTTTCTCCCTCCTCCCTCTTTCTCTCTTTTTTTTTTTTTTTTTTAACACAAAATAGATATGATAAGTCACTCCACGTCGGGTCGAAGTTCAGATCTCACTCTATATTTTGGATGCTAAAAATAAATTTAATTTTAATTAATTATCATAATTATAAAAACTCAAACTCCAATATTAACCAATCAAATTTAAACTCTTGTTCCCTAAATCAACCATCGTTGATTGTCTTTTTCTTTTTGTAACGAGGGTACTGCCATTATTTTCTCTCTCCTCACTTTTTCTCCTTCCCTGATGATTTAAATGATACCTTTTGTAGGTTTGCTTTTGAACCTTTGGTATTTGGATCTGAATTAGAGTGGGGGAGGGCAGAGAGAGAGGTAGAGAGAAGTCAAAAAGTACTTAAGAAAAAGACAAAAAAAGATTCAAATATTGATTAGGAAAATTGGAAAGAAAAAAAAAACTGAGCAGAGAACAGTGAAAAGGAGGGGTGTGATGTTGCCAGGAATAGGATATGTTTTTTTTTTTTGTTTTTGCACATGGCAAAATGACGTCGTTTAAGGACGATTAAAGATTTTTTTTTTTTTTTGCACTTAGATTAAAGATAGCTCATACGGATGCTGCATAGATTCATATCCTTAAATCTATGTAGGATTAATGATTAATGAGTGAGAAATTCAATTTTATATAATAGATCTCACTTAAATACATGATAATCAATTTATTGAAAAAAAATTAAAAATATATATACTTGAAGATATCTCCTACGAACTTCTACAATAATGATATTTTGTCTATCAAATCTCAATGAAGTTTGTGAATGTGATGCTTCATTTTGTCAAAAGAAATTCGATATATGTAGAGAAACACAAACTTGGTAAGTGAAACACGGCTCTTTAACTATAATCAACACAATTCAATTGACTATTTTTCATTTGATGTCAATGAGATTAATATATTATTGACTAATAGAATCGACAATAGATTGTTCTAACGTTGTTTAATATAAACATAAGGAAAAATTTTAACCACATTTTTTTAAGTTTATCATGTTTTCAAGAATATTTTTTTTATTTTTGAATCTTCACTGATACCAGATTAAAGATGTTACTTGCAATGTAATTTTACTAAATTATTTATGAAAAATTTCATTCACACTCCCTCTAATTAGGCATATCTTCAATGAAACTCCCTCTATTTTATTTTTTTACATATTAAAATTCGATTCAAATTAGTTAAAATTTATTTATGTATTAAAATTTGAGTCAGTTAAAAATTATATTTTTTTACATATTAAAATTTGAGGCGCTTAAAATTCTATTCCAGGTGTGTATGAGGCCCTTCACCACCACCACTTTTAAGTGGCGGTGTTGATGCGGTCCTCTGTGTGTTGTGTAATCGTTTCTTTTGAAAAAAACAAATACCAAGAACTTATGTGTATGCGTCAGTTTCATGAGTCCTATGTGGCCCAATCTGTGAATAAGGAGCAAGGGATTGGGGGTTTTCTCACATTGAATAGCCTTAGGGATGTGTGTGTGTATAAGGCCCTTCACCATCACTACTTTTAAGTGACGGTGTTGATGCAGTCCTCTGTATGTTGTTTAATAGTTTCTTTTGAAAAAAACAAGTACCAGGAACTTGTGTGCGTGAGTCAATCCCACGAGTCCCGTGTGGGCCCAATCCGTGAATAAGTAGCAAGGGACTAGGGGCTTTCTCACATCGGATAGTCTTAAGATTGTGTGTGTGTGTATAAAGCCTTTCACCACTACCACTTTTAAGTGGCGGTGTTGATGTTGTCCTGTGTGTGTTGTGTAATCGTTTCTTTCGAAAAAAAAAAAATTTATATTCGATGCGTAAATCAAATTTTAATATATAAAAAAATATAATTTTTAATTGATTCAAATTTTAATACATAAAAATTAAATTTTAATTAATTTAAATTGAATTTTAATATATAAAAAAATATTAATTTAATCGATTCGAAAATACATTTTAGTCGGGGTTAATAACTCAAGTAGAGCTCAAATTAACTCAAATTTTAATACGTAAAAAAATTAAATTTAATCAACTCGAATCGAAATTGACTTAAATTTTAATACATAGAAAAAAGAATTCTAATTACCTCAAATTTTAATATGTAAAAAAAATTAATCGGCTCGAATTTTATGTAAAATAATTGCTTGAGATTTATGTAAGGACAATTCAGGTATTTTAAAAAATTTATTTTTGTTATAAATAATGGTTTAATAACAGGGGTTGGCAGTAATATTTTTGATAATAGAGGGAATGTCTTTAAAAATATAATAAACTAAAAAGTATGTAACTGAAATTTTCTGAAACATTAAATCAAAATCATGTTGATTCCTACGTATAAGCGGTCCATTTCATGATCTTTCATTGTCGCCATCCAAAGGATTGCAATTGGACCTGATCATGAGTTGTTTTCAACAAACTTCAACTACTAGACTGCCAGCAACTAAGATGTTAACATATCAGCAGAATAAATGCAATTAAACAAAATTTCCTGAATCTTTGAAATTTAGGGTTTCACTCTGACACCAAAGGAACTACTAGGATAATGAAATAAATCACTTTTTAAATAATTTTTAGGGTAGTTCAGAGTCAGTCGGCTGATAATTCTATAATCTTATATTTAATATTTCTCGTATCACTTATTAGTCACCTTTGTTTCAAAGCTAGACATATTTTAAACTCACTCGAAATTTAAACTCAAAGAAATAATTAACATAAATTTGGATAACTTATAGTAAAAAAAAATCACCTTTTATGTTCAAAATAAGATTTTTTAGGGTCAAATTATATCACAAAAAAAATGATCAATCTTAAAAAAATAAAACTTCTAGGGTCTAGTTACACTATTTTGGGGATACAATGTTTTGGGGGTGTTTTAGTCTTTGAGATCGATCCGGGATTGATCCTAAACACCTCCAAAATTTTTAATTTGACCCCCAAAGTTTGTATCTTAATTCCAAAAGTTAATATTTTACGATATCATACCGGAAAAACATTTTTGATACCATAGACTTAATCACGAAATTTAACATGGGCATCACCAAAATCTTAAGTCTTGTTAGCTAGGTTGATAAACGAGCCGAATGAATAAGTTCGAATCCGAGCCTTAAAAACTTATTTTTTAAAACAAACTTAAAAAAATGTACACGCTCAGCTCATTTTCTAAACGAATGAGCTCGAGTTGAACTTAAAACGAGTCAAACCTGAGCTGAGTCTGAATAACTTTAATAGTTTAGAGCAATTCCAACTCATTGGCTAAATCTCCATTCTTAGCTATCTTGGCAAGGCAAACTTCAAAAATCTACTCCAATCAACTGTTCATCTTGTTCGCTTAAATCTAAGAGACCCTTCATGCTCGCCAGATATTGAGAGAGAAGAAGCTCACCAGACATCTTGTCGGCTCTTTCTTCTTCATCTCCAATCGATGCATTTGTCTTCTCATAGCGTTGTTGTCATCCAAGTGTTGCTATCAGATACATCTTTTTCATCCCCCCTCTCACCCATTTTGCAACCTACCTCCTCCCCTAGTCTGCATCCGAAACCTCCCCCTTTTCTGAAACCCATCTCCCCCAATTATGAAACCCCCCCTCCAAAATTCTGAAAACTCCCTCAATTTTTTATATAATAAAATATTTACATTTAGATCCTATAAAATATTAATGTAAATATTTGAAAAATATTTAGATTTATGAGACATATATTGTGTAATTAATTTTTGTTATTTAAAGTGGATGGGTGTTAAAGTTAGTCGAAATAATTAACTAAAATATAGAGCGTGGTTAGAGTAAACTTGTAAAAGTGACTAACTAAAATAGAAAATGTAATATTTAAATATATTTTAACTAACCATTTTGAAGTTGCTCTTATACATAACAAACCAAACTTTGCAAGCTCAAGTCCAAAAAGAGTCGAAACAAGCTTAAGAAATTGTTCAAGTACAAAACAAGCCGAATTCAAGTCAAACTCGAGTAGCTCGAATCATTTACCACCCCTACCAGTAGCAGCTTGAAATGACCCACACCATAAACCCAAAGACTATGGTATACTATTATTTGAGGATATGGAACCTCGTAGTTCTTGTACAATGCCATATCTGCTAAGTGGCTCTAGAGATAATATCACCAAAGATGGACCATGGAAGCTCTGGTACAAGAATACATAACAGTCATTAGAGCAACAAATAATAGGAACCAGTTACTTCAACTGCGTGGAGGTCCTACGCTGCCGATTTGAACTTTTGACTCCTGTTCACAAAATCCAGGTAGCCCTGCCAAAGATTAACATATCACGAGCCTCAAAGTGGTGAACTTAAGATTCTAAATGACGGTTTTAAAACTAAGCAGACCAGATTAAATTCAAAATTAAGTTTAAAAATTGGATGTCTCATCCAATTATATTCAATATTGTGCAAGAAATGTTCAAGAAAAGTTTTCCAGAATACTAAACTTATTGTGATCCCTCAAAATAAAAATAAAAAATTGCCAAACCTATCAAAATCTAATTAATAAACCCTCCACTAGCAATTCAAACTCCAACTTCATAGGAAAGGTAGTTGCTTGGACATTTGGATTGTATCACTCAGGATATTGCGTTGGACATATGATTTCAAGGGCATATAAGAATTTTAAACGGTAATTAAAACATCCTAATCTGTGGCCAAAAAACATCATAAACAGAATTGGCAAATGGCATTGAACTGCCCCTTAACCATAACTACGGATTTATTTCTGTATCAACTTTTTCTCCGATTCTTAAAACAAAGCCAACAGAAACTTTTATCAAATCTACAGAGAAACATTAGTTATTACCTGGAGTATCCCAACAGCAGCAAATTTGTCTATTATCGTCTTTGACTGTACTGGGCGCAAATTCAAAGGCTTCAATAATAATTCCACATTCTGTGAAGGATCACTAGCACAATAATCATCGGCCAATGATGTCACCATTATCAATAAAACGAATACAAATGGAGAAGATCATGTTTGTTAAATCATTAAGAAGACACTGAGCCACTAAATGAGAATTTGCTCAGGCATTAGTCTTCATAAATGGCTGCATTCAGCTTTGGTAGAATCAGGGGTAGGCCTACATATGTATTATTATAGTCCTTTTCATTTTATGTATGCACAAAACAACAAAAGTTACACATGCATATAGAATAAATTTCATTGGGCAATTTTAGTCCTATATTCCCAGGCGGTAGGCATTAACTGATTATTTGCAGCTAAATGATTCTAAGAAGCGTGATTTACCCAAATCGAACTTGTTTTCCCTTATTAGCTAGAAACACCCACCTTTGATGTGAAGCACTCGTCCCAAAAAGTGTAACTTAAGCCTTCAAGCTTTCCCGTCTTACAAAGATCATCAACGAATAGTTTCACTTGAACAGCCTAACAAAGGAGGAGAAAGAAAATTGTGACTTGAAAGTAAATGTCAGACTAGAGTGAAGACTTATGAGATGAACCCGCACATCTGGACTGCTTCTTTGTCTATCAAAAGGGTACCCAAAAATGAAGCCCACCAAAGAAAGTTCAGAGATCTGCATTCAAACACAAGACTTGGATTTTACTAAGATAATCTCTGAAAAGACGAAATACCTGCTGCAGAAATAACTTTGATACTTAAAGCTATAAAATGGGAAGATAACTAGAGCTAACAAACTCACCAAACTTTGAAAATCACTGACCATCATGTCGATATTTGTTTTCTTCCGAAGCAGAACACTACAATGTGGAGAACCAACCACATAATTCCGTGGATAGAATCACCATAAACAAAGTATCTACAAATGATGGGCATTTTGTGCAAGGAAAAGAAAAAGGGAAAATGTTGACTAGCCAATGAAAAGTGAAAACCCAAACAAAAACTTCACTAAACAGTATGCGTGTATATATGCAAGAAAGGCTGAATGATACCTTAGAGGCGAAACAATGTGATTTTGAGGATCCGAAACAGCTAAGCCAACATACTTATGACCGACATCCAATCCAAGTAATCGTCCTCGTGGTTGCAGGGTGTTGGACTTGAGCAAATCATGGAATAAGTTCATTGGCTTCATGTACTTCATCTTCTATCTGTATCAATCATATTATTCTTTGACAAAATTCATATTGCTAAGGTCATTTTCACATAATAAGATGCAAAATTAAAGTAACATCGTAATTCTGCCAAACATTTCCACAAACACTAGGAGAGCTGAACTCTTCATATTGCTACTGCCAAACATTTCCACAAATAATAATTACGCTATAGCTATACACATAACATGCTTTATGTACAGATAAAACACCGAAAATATCAAACTTGTACACAATTCATTCAGGAAAGTATAAGCATCAAAAACCCAAAATTAAAGAACTTGGTTAATGCATTGGATTGTAGTTTATACACAATCGGAGCATCAAAATTGAACTTTCAATTAAATCAAATCATACTACTAACTCGAAATTATTCCAAACAATGGGAATGCTACTGGAGCATTACCACCGAGATCAAGCACTCAAAAACCTGAAATACAGAGACTATAAAACTACAAGACACTGAATGAACAACAAAAATGGGGTTCCACCTGAACATAGCGATGATTAAACAGAGACAAGTTATAGTGCAACATCCTATTTTCATAGCAAGGGGAAGAAGTACCATCGTGAGGTGAGATAGATGAGACAAAATTACCTGGTGGCTTGTGGACAACGGACGGCCTTGCAAGGTTCAACGGCGAGTAGAGAGATGAGTGGCCTCGGGGAGGGGGAGAGAGAGAGAGAGGGAGAGACAGGCTACTGTGAGACGCAGAGAAGATATCGTGTGAAAGGCAGAGGGAGTGAAGTGTATTCTTTTAGGGCTAACAATTGAGAACTTTATAGTAGGCGAAGAGACCCACCGGTTTGTCCTGAACCTCCCGGCTCATGTGTGTTAATAAAACCAGGCGGGATACGGGTAAATGACGGGCTTTGTACATTAAACGGTTTGAATATCAATCCAGTCCAGCAGGTATAGGCCCGGTTTTCCAGTAGACACACTGAGCCGGACTGGTTTTAATAACACTGTCCGCAACAAGGCACTATGACTAAGTGCAGTTTGGGCCGGCTCATACACTACCAAGCAATATGACATTAAGTATAGTTTGGGCTATTAACGCAATCATTTGGTCTAATTATCTTCAAATATACGACACGATTCAACTCCATTCATACACAACTAGTTCAACTCAATTCATACACAACTAGACTAGACGGTTGAGCTATACTAAGAGGTAATAGATTACTCAAGCATGTTTTTCCATATAATTTTGGAATATAGCCACATCCTTATGGCACCCTCCCGGTGGTATCCTACCATTCCCATTTCAGGATTGGTTAGGATTCCCGGATAGATTATTAATCACTTGTTATAATATGGATATAGTGCGAGGCATGTTCGAGAATGGATTCTTCATCACACAAGCCAATCTCGAACAAGCCGGGTCGATCTTGAGCTAGAGACTCTAAATAACTTGGGTTCATTTTACAACCCCAAAAAATACAAGCTCAGCATCCCCCCCCCCCCCCCCCCCCCCCTCCCTCTCTCTCTCTCTCTCTCTCTCTCAATGAAGGTTTATTTACACAGGAAAGAACTTCTACAAGGAAAAATCAAGGAAAAAGGAAATGGAAGAAGATATTTGCCCACTATTGCATTAATGTGAACATGGCGGCCAACTAGGCTGCAAAAATAAGAATCAATTGAACAAAATTGAATGACTGATTATCTATCTCCACTATGAAATAGTTCGTACATAGAAAAATGGGGAGAGACTCTCAAGCTCAGCACGTTTTCGGGACGCTCTTCTAAAAGGCTTCCGGTTTCTCCATAACAAACGCTCAGTTCCACTAGAACGCTTCAAACTATCACTGTCTGCAGGCACCAATGTCTTCCTCTTTCTGGACTTGGGTTTCTTCGATTTTCTTCGCAGCTCTGTGCGGTGTGGTGAAGGTGTTTGAGGCTCTTCCAATTTGCTGCCACTTGATCTGTCAAAGCATCACAGGAAAAATAATGAGAAAAAAAAAACAAATTAGAAACAAGTAATAGCCTTACAAAATGGTCTTTTAACTGAATCATCAAAGGAAAAGATAACATTTGCATTAATTAGTTTGCTCTAGTCGCACATAGCTCAAAATGGTAGGGTCCTAAATGATGAAACATCATTTCCATATTCCTCTAATACCAACAGTCACCCATTAATACAACAAACATTATTTGCTTCCAAATTCAGAGCAATACTTATGGTGCCCTCTTCAAATTCTACTAATTCTGCTAGAAAATCTACGGGGTAAAGCACAATTGTAGTCCAGGAGCGTGATTATAATGAATGAGAGGAGGTCATGCTGTTATCAAGAGAACATGATTTAAAAAAAGAAATATTTTTGTTGAGGATCTGATTCATGAGAGGAACCATTGAATCAGACACTAGGACGTGTGTGCTATATCATATGTCCTTGACAGTAGAGATAATTAACATATAAACTGTTTTGAATTAGCAAACTAAGAGCATATATAGTATAATTCTAATGCGCTCAGCCAAAAAACTATTACAAGGTAATACGGAGGGGATGGAGTGGGATCATCTGATTCAAATTAAAGATGGATGCATCCTACAAAACAGCGAGGGCATGAAAAAAGTCATGATTGCCCTTCATTAACATGGGTTATGGCTGCTGACAGAGCTAAATGCACAGCAAAGGCTATGTGCAGCCGACCACAATTCGATAGGATAGGTGCTTTTGTCAGGCAGAGCTCTCATAAATTAAACATTAACATAAAATACACTTGCCTCTCCTGAGTCAACGATGGCGATGCACATAAATCCACATCCGTTTGAAGTTTACATGCAGGGCAGAAGTAAATCTTTGGTGGCAAAGATAATTTAATGCAATCAAAGTGATACCATTCATCACATTTATCACAAGCAATCATTGCTCTTTGGTCATAGGGCTTCCGACATATGCAGTAAAGCATACTTCGATCCCTCAACAACTGCACCCACCAAAAATACAGAAGATCAACACGAGATCAAGCTTGGAGTCAGACAAAGAAAGTATTTTTTTACCTTAAGTTCCTTGTCAAATTGAATTGTCAAATTTTCACCCTCCATCATAAGTTCAAACACTTTATCCAATCCAAGTGCCCCAGAATCCACCGAAACCTGTTCAAAGGAAGACAATAGAGTTAAACTAAAGAGTCATTGTAAAACATAACATAGAATAGGTAAGCAATATATTGGACCTTCTTGGCTTTATCTGCCCACTGCAAGCCAATGTGCCTCACTTCTGTGAGTCTCTGCCTGAAGTAATCTTCTGGAGGTATGCTTATGGCAAGTCCCTGAAACATAATATATAAACTTAATATCTAGGACAGTTGAAGAAAAAAGTTGTGATTTAGGGTTACACGTACACCAGATGATGTTTATGTTATTCTTATGGATGATCCAAAACCGCAAATGAACATCATTCTAACCACTCTATCACTCTGTCCACCCATAAAATTGTGGTCCAGTAATTTTTCATCAAAAAAATTCTCTTCAAGGACCACAAGCTGAGAGAATCCCAGATGACACCCAAAGCAGGTTAAATTTCTTACTGGCAAAAAAGAAAAGATTAAATAAATAATTACATAATTTGCAATTATAACTGGAGCTTTGCAGTAATACAGTGCCCACATACAGCCTCTACTCAATCCGATATCATCTTTTGGATGCATCAACAACCTCGAGACAACTGAAGACAAGACATCATTCAAGCATTAAGCCCTTATCCATGCCAAGCCACTTAATTCGTTAGAATTTTTCAGTTTATAAATTTTGCATTTATATGCAAGGAATTGTTTTTTTTTTTTTCCTTTTTTGGTTTGTGCTAAACATTGGAATGCAAGCTATCAACCCTGAAAAAGTCGTCTAACATAGGCACGTGGTGCGAAAAGACGAGATGTTAATCCTCCACCCAGTCCATCCACCAAGCAACCTCAATGAACAGGACCAAGATTGAAAATTGCCTTACTGGAGGTCTTACAACAGCACCTTAGTGCTCTTTAAACATGTCAATTTATGCAGCGATTCTAACTGATACAGGATTTTGAAGCCGATATACCAACTGGTGTAACAACACGTGAAGGATAAAGTTGACGGTTCGCCCAACTTTTTCTTACATCAGCAAGGAAATCTCCAAAGAATTACCAAAATGGTAGAATGACATCACAATAAGCTGAATCATATGAATGGAGGGAGCGGGAGTGAGAGACAAGAGCAAGAGTTGGGAGTGTCAATTTCTAAATTACAAAAATCAAGATCGCCCAGAGCATCCATTTAAAAATGTAATTTAGTTTCACTTTTTAATTATCTTTTATTTTATAACACAAAAATTTGTAGCTTATTTTAAAATATAATATTGGTTTAGAAAAAAAGCAATCCAGTTCTACTTGGTGGCAGATGTCCTGTCCAATTAGCAAAGACGTCAATGGTTTGAGTCCATGTAACGACTTTACACATCATTTTCCTTATGGTTTTCATCATAGAGAAGCTCTGGTATGTGCAACTCTGTAAGCACTACGCATAGGAGGGGATCATTCTTTAGCAACAAATTCTCTAAATATTCATGGCTTCAGAAAAACAAGCACAAAGTTATTGTAAATTGGCTCCCAATGTGTTGATTCATGCTTTGGAAGCACATTTATCCTCCAAGGTAAATGATTTGGGGCACTCTGAAAAACAAAAAATGAAACAGGAACAATTTTGACCTCTCACTTGAATCAGCATTTCTATTCACGAAAAATAGTAGTAGTACACATAATGTTCCTAAAAAATGGAAGTACATGTTATTCAAGTCTTTATCAATAACTGTCAGCAGATCTACTGCGGAAATAGTTTTTACAGGGACTTATACTTTTAGTAAATGAAGTGTCTGCAACTCGTAAGTGCACTGCTGGTTGGACCTGAAGCAGGAACCATTAACATCTTTCCAAACTAAGATATGCACTGCATGCAAAGTGGAACATCTTGCATATTACATCTCAAGAAAATTATAGGAGTTTAGGGTTAAAATTTTTTCCTCTTTTCCTTTTTTAAAGTGCACAAACAACAAGATCATTTTGTTAGAAAATCAATTGGCAATGGATGAAATGACTCCTCAAGTATATAAACTAACTTGACATAAGTTCTCTTAACACCCTCCCTCACATGGCATTCGGGCTGGCACGTGGAGTCGCAAACAAACAAACAAATATGTATATCGGGAAAATCCAATGGGTAAAAGACTTGGCCCAAATTTAACCACCCAAGGCCCAACACTGGCACTATGTTAGAGCATCCAACCCAAAATCAATTAGCAATGAAGAGAGTGGTCCCTCACGTATATAAACAAACCTTGGTGGTCCTAATTAATCAATGTAGAATACAAGGTCTCTTAACACCCTCCCTCAGATGGGACCCGGGCCCGTGAGGTCAACAAGCAAACAACCATTCATATCAAGATCCAAATGAGTAAGAGACTTAGTCTAATGATCATCCAAGGTCCAGCTCTGATACTATGTTAAAGAATCCAACCCAAAACCAATTGGCAATGGGTGAAGTGCCCCTTCAAGTATATAAACCAACCTTAGTGGTCCTAATTATTAGATGTGAGATACAAGCTCTCTTAACACATTTCACTCTTTGAACATTCTATTGATACCCTAATTCTACAAAAAACTGACTGTTTCAAACCCTTTTGGCAGCTATATCATCTTAAGCTGTTCATCAGGGAAGGGTAAAATAGCAAAGAAAGTGCCAACAATAAATAACACCAATCATAAGAATTCTAGATTTCTAGCAGCACAGAAAATGCCAACAGTTTATACCTCTTTTTTTTTTTTTTTGGGTGCTTTGGGGGGAACCACAGTAAGAGTTACCTGGGTTCCCTAATAAAGCTAAATACTAGACATGTCTGCCCTAAGCAAATGAACAATACAGTCAGGTGGTTCATCAAGAAAAACTAAATCAACAATACAATACAGTTTATACCGCTTTCAAATGCTGCTGAATTTGTTGAATCTTGGGCTTATGTGGACCTTCTAATAGTCCCTGGGCTGTGACTCTCCATGAATTTCTTGCTAATGCCAGCTCCAATTTGCAGCTACCTTGATGATCATATACACCTGCCACTTCTACTGCCTGTTTGCAAGAAAAAGTACTTCCAATCAGGAAGAGAAAACTGACCATGTTGCGGGCTGCAATAGACAAAAACATTGCAAACAGTAGTCCAGGAAATTAAGACTCAAGGCTGACTCTGTGCAATCAATTAGATGACGACGACAATATAATGATGGTGGCAGTGATACTGATGGTCATGGTGATGACGCTGATAGCCACAGACAGGAGAATCTCTGCCAGACCATGCACCATCACGAGCCTGGTGTACAAATGGATCCATCATGAGCAGCATATTTCTATAAAATAGTACAAAGCTACATAAAAAGTACCTTCAAAGCAACAGAAATATTTTTAGCAGCTATGCTGAGATCTTCATCAAGGTAACCTAACACAAAATCCACTCTCTCTGTTAACCAAGCTTTGCAGGCAACAGCTTTCTCAACAATTTGGCCAAGTATAATTTTTTCCTTGATGCTGTCAAGAGCAACCAAACCCATCCAGTGAAATCATATTTATCTCCATAATATAAACAAATGAACATCAAGATATATGCATCTGACACTGAAGAAACTGTTCAAGTTCTTAAGTACAATAGGTAATGAACCACCAAAATAAATTGCAAATGCCACATGAACAAGTGTGAATTAGTCAAAGTGAAAGTTTCAATTTGAGGATAGGGTTAATTAGGGCTAGGATTAAGTTATTACAATTTGGAGTTGACGATTTGAAAGATCTAGGTCTCAAATGCACCCAGTTTTTGGGTCACACCAACTAGATCGTTGGTGACTTGGTTGTAATGGTTTGTAGCAATGCTGGTAACACCTTATGAAACTTTAAGAATATAGACACCCACAAGCAGCACATAAATAACAGCTTTCTATTTTCCTGAATTCAGAATGCCACAAAATGGGTACCGTTCATCATTCCTATGAGCATATAAATTCCAAATAATTTTTCCAGGAAAAATAAAACTTGAAGTTGGGAATGAATAGGAGCCCAAGAAGTGCAACTCATCTAAAAACTTGAAGTGTGGGAGAGTTAAGATGGATGTGAGGTATAACAAGAAGGATAAGAGTTAGGAATGAATATATTTGTGAAATGGTACAAGTAGCACCATTTCTTGTGCTTGGGGAGAAATGGGCAAGCGGCAAATAATCCACTTGAAATCAATTTACTCTAATGCTTTGGCGCCAGTTCTCACATATGAAAAACTTATCATTTCATAAGTTCTTATTTATATATGCAGTCCATAAGATGGTCAAGGAAAGACCAATTCAAAAACATGGCAAGATGAGAACTTCTGACAATCGAAGAGTAAGATTTGCCGAGATAAAACTTTTAGCGATAGCACAAGCTTGGTGTCGAAAGAGATTTAAGAAGATCAGATAGCACAAGTTTGGTGTTGAAAGAGATTTAAGAAGATCGGGATTGTCATCATTACCATATAAAGCTAAACTCCAATCTCAGTATGCTAGCTCAAGTCGCAAGTCAAGTAGTAGAGATCCAGTGACAGACAGAAAGAAGAGTTAGACTAGAATGCAAGAATGAATCTCAAAAAGGTCTGCTCCTGCAATCAGTATTGGTACTTTGTAGGTTTCCAATAAAAGATATACATCAAAATTTAATCTGGTTTACCCGGATTATACCCCTATGTATTCTACTCGTATCGTAGCATGAGACCCTCTCGGAAGTAGTTGAAGATCTAAGTCTTAAATCCTAGCTAATTGATTCTTTAACTGTATCTATCAATGGTGAGTTTGACACTAAACTCCCAACGGCTGAGGCTAATTCATCAGAATTTGAACCAAGCCAAAACTTGCACTCTTAAGACTTTGCTATAGTCCCTTGCCCTGACCCCTTAGTAACAGAACCTCCCTTGGTGCCAACGAGAATAATTTGATCTATATTTCCATCTCATTCTAACCCTAAAGACTATTGCTCCTATTATGGCTGCTTATGCCACAAGACCTAGAGGAGCTCCCATTATTATTCCAGCTCGATCTATTCAGCTCCAATGGCCCAATATGGACTACATACTTCGTTACAATAGTTCCTGATAAGAACTACCTAGATGTAGCATCAAGGTTGATTGTTAGGGAAGGTATGGGGTACAAATATAGTTTACGTTTCAACTTGATCAGTTCGCCGACAGGGATGAATGAATAAAGCTTTTCTTCGGAGAGAGAAATCCTAGCATGTTTCCCATTACTTATCCATAGGGCACGACATGACAAGAAAGATTCATTACTAACTGACCATAGAGAGAGAAGGTTCTTTACCAACACCACTCTAACAAAACTGACAACTAATAATCATAATGGGGCTTCCTTTGCCTCTGTTATTTTGGGGTCATATGTTGACTCTCTCTTTCCCACTCCCTCATACACAGAAGACATCCATCCTTTTGGAGCCCGAAGTATATACCCTCAAATTATTATGGCAAATTGTGCAACAACTCACTAATCTAGAACAAGGCAAAATACCAGTATTAGAATATATCCAAACATACCAATATTAGGATGAAGTAGATCAAGTAGATGAAAAAATACAATCTCTGACCACTTTGCTAGTTATTTGTCCCAATATTACTTTTCCAAATAATTCATCAAACCTTAACCCAAAAAATAACGTATCCAACCCCGATATTACTGTTCACAACTTCACGATACTTGAATAGTGCTAGACTTTTTAGTTCTCTGTTGTCCTACATCAACTTCTTTATGTAACTACCTGCAGGATTATTGCGTAGTTGAATTTTTATAAAACAATTTGAGATCATGGATAAGATTAACCCATTGAAGAAAACACATATATTGCGGAACATAGCCAATTACCCATTAAATTGTATAGGAATCATCATTGTTAAGCTTCTCACCACCATCCCATCTTAATACCACAAAACAATGTAGATTGGACCAGAAATTGAAAGATATCTATCGAAGCAATTTAGCATTCTTTATAAGCACATCAGCTCAAAACCCAATAGATTATAATCACCCAAAAACAAGTGGCATGTTGATATATTCAATCCCAAATAAGGTTACACAGAGGAATTCATACAACCTGCTATCCCTTTGCATTTGATTTTTTTTTAACCATCCTTAAGTATGAGATTTGTCTCATTTTGGTCCCCAATATGTTAATTATATCATTTTAGTCACTGAAATATTAAATATGTTTCTATGTAGTCCCTCGAGCAGATATCCAAATTGCTAACGATTTTTTATCATAAACTTGTCACATAATACTTAAATATGAGTAAAAAATAATTTGAGTAGCTCTTAACCAAAAATGTGTAATATAAGTAACTATTGACCAAAATTTGAATAGCTCATGAATAAAATTGTGTAATTTGGATAGCTCATTGACCAAAATTTAGGTAAAAATTTGGTCAACAATTATCTAAATTATTTTTTCTTCTCATATTTAGGTATTACGTGACAAGTTTATAATAAAAAATCATTAGCAATTTGAACACTGTCTACTTGAGAAATAACATTGAAACATGTTCAATACTTCAGACACTAAAATGATACAATTGAAATATTAGGGATTAAAATAAGACAAGCCTCATATTTTGGGGACGTCTAGTGCAATTAACCATTTGAAATATTGTCTTTTGACTAAGTTCTAAACTTCCAGCAATAGTATGAGTATCTGCCGACAAATCAAGGCTCTTTCACAAAGCTTATAGACATCATAACACCTCCAGTTAGTCAGAAGTAAAACTTCAGAAGTTGTAGAAGAAATCTCCCTAAGCTTAAATGAATTCACACATATGACTTTGTAAGGCTAGATCTCTAGAACAAGCATGACTTAAAAAGTCCAGATATCAAGATCCATCCTTCATCAAGCAAGACATCAATACCGCATACCTATGAAGCATGGACACTCTCGAGAAGGTGACGTATCCGTGTCGGAAATGTGTCTGATACTCTCTTATCCATGTCCATAAATAAAATATTTTTAATTTCGGATACGTATTTGACACTTCTTTGGTGACATGTCCAATAGTTCTTTAGAACGTGTCTATAACTAAACAATAAACATGTGTTGAAATATGATTAACAAAGTTTAAAATTTTGAGAACATATAATTACTAATACTAGACACGTCAAAATTATACTCCAAATATAATAATAAAAACAAAAGATGCATAAAAGTTTTAAAAAAAAAAAAGAATTGAAAAAAAGAGAGCACTTATTTAAATTATATATTAGGTACACATTGTTTACAAAAAATTTTTATGATTATTGACTATCATAATGATGCTTCAGTCTAAAAATTCACACATATGACTACACATAAGATTTAATTATCATAAAAACCTAAATCTTTTATGAATTGCATATCATTATCACTATATTTGTGATAAATTATATAATGTTATACATAAAATATAATTTTTTATAACATATCCGTGTCCTACTTTTTTGAAAAATATCGTGTCTGTGTGTCCGTGTCTGTGCTCCATACGCAAGCTTCCACCCCGACAATACCCCACAGAATGGTTTGAAGAAATATCCCTTCGATTCATGTTATTATCACCATCAAATAGAATAAAATGAACTTTAAGCAATCAAGAAAGTGCTTTCTGTCTTCGAAGTTTTTTTGATTAAGTTATTGTTTTCAAAATTATCAATAAAAGAATCTTATAGAACTGGAACTCAACAAATATGCTTGCCTCTGCCTCTTCCTTGTCTTTGAACCATTTTCCGCTGATATGGTAACAGAAGGAGATTTCTAAAACCATCCTAGCCATTAAAACCTTTTTGAAACATTTACTAAAACTTTAAATATCGTTGCGCAATATGATTATGAAGCACAAAGACTCGCCGCATACATAACAAAGCAATAACATACATTTTCTCCAAAATGAAACAAGGTGACAGCTCATTACCATATGCAGAGATCCTCTGCAAGCGATAAAAGCTCAATGAGGTCATTTAATTCAGGTTGTTTCCCTCCTATTCTCTGCATCATACAAACATAAAGACTGTCGGAGAGAAAATTCAAACTGTTTTGAGAAGGAAAATACGTTGTAAACTAAGTCACTAATGCGTACCAAAAGACCACTTCCGTTTCGAGAGATTTTCCCTTTTTTAGCACAGTGGCAAAATGGACAAATAAATATTGCTGCATCATTTGTATTTTCCAGTGCTGATCCAGAGCACCCCAAATGGAAGCTGTTGGCAGAGTAATATCGAAGACATGTGATGAGCAAAAGTAGTAGTGACATGCATATGCATTTTAAAATCACTCAATAAATGCAAAACCAGTTTTTAGATCCATGAAAAGTCCAAATAATAGTAGACTCTTAAACATCTCATTGATCATGAAAAGATAAAATGCCAACTTTGTGTTTTTCTATTTGGCCAACAAAATTGCAGCCAGATTACATCTAATAAATTATGGACGTTGATACCTTACCAGTCCATGCACAAGGAACAAGTCAAAAGCTCCTGATCCTTAATATCATTGCAGCAGAGAATGCATATACATCCTGGCTCGCGGCCCTTAGACTTATCATATATATACAAGGATCTATCAAGAGTACTTTTTATCTGCACATGGAAAAGATTCAAAATTATATATCCAAAATTGTAACTAAGCCATGAAACTTGAAGACTCAATAAAGATGACAACAGATAACAGTTGAAAAAACCTCAAGTAGAACATTGAGGTTTGAATTATGATCTCCAACAGAAGGTCCAGCAATTTCCTCAAACCGTTGCTTCCAGTGCTCAACCTTTTGTACTTCAGATGAGACCATGTCTAGCTCTGAGCAATTATAGGCATCCGTGCTCCCAAGTTCCTAATTAATATCAATCATAGTGATTAAGTGACCACAAAAATCGACCAAAGGGAGATATGATATCAACAAGTCAAGGAAAAAAATGTATTACAAGTGTGGCAGCATAAGCCTAAACAACAATCACTGCAACAAGCACCCTACAATTTAAGGTCCTGTAACCCTAAATATAAAGAAGGGAAAAAGACAAACCATCTAAACTTTGGAGAGTCCCCAACTTGGGTACACGAAGACAGAGAGAAACTTGATTGCTTTAATATAAAATCAGAAGTACAAGCTCATCAGCCACATAGCAGGACTCAGGAAGCCCAGAAGGTAATAAAAAATAACCACATTGTACATTTGAAGGATCAAAATCTTGAACGTTACTGTTTATGATACCAGACACAAACTACACCACAAGCCCTAAACCTAAACCCAAACAGAATCAACTTACAGTCTCATAACTTGAAACAACTCCAAAATCACTATTGCTTCAATTTCTTCATAACCTGCCAAGGGTACTGACAATATTGTGGCAAGAACAAATGTCAATTACTTCAAGACCTAAATACATGGAGATCTAGCATTTTGCTATTTACATAAAGTTCCAACCCCCATCAGTTTTGAAGTGCTAGGGAAAAGGAATATTTAAATCCATCTTCTCAACATCCCAAACAGTTTGAATTGATACAAGCAGGTATTGCAACGTGTTTAAAAATGCAGTTGATTCTCGATACAATGTCATTTCTATGGTGTACATATACAAAAAGGCCTCAACAAAGTTAAGGTGAAATCATCCTTTCTCTTTCTTTGTACAAGCTTTTTAACGGAGGAAAGCGAGCTTTGAAGGATTGCCATTAGACAGAATGAAGTTCCAAAAATTAGTGATACCAATAAAAATAGAACAAACTGATGGATGAAATGACTAAATAAAAATTGTAAAAAAAAAATACAATAAAAGAAGTCCAGAAGTTAAAAAAAAATGTGTTACCTTGAGCTCTAGCAATAAAACCCATGATCGATCTCTAGAGTTGAGGCAGAAAAAAAGATGCACTTGCTCCAGCCACAAACTACGCATATAATTTAAAGTCAAAAATTATAGTAACAGGAAAATGAAAGAAGAGATATAAGATGAGCAAAGGTGGAAAGCAGTGGTAATAAGGTTGAAAGAAAGGATGCGTCAAACATGCAGACCCCGGTTCTACTTCACTAAGCCCCGTCCTTGAACAAGGAGGAAGCCACTCCCACCAGATTGAATCACCTTTTTTTTAGTAAGCCTTGCTTTTTAAGACCGACGAAGGAGCTCAACAAAGGTCACCGGGCTGCTCATGAGAAAAGATAGATGCATAGCATGCACCTTCCTATGAATATCCACATTTGCTTTCCAAATTTTCCTTTTGTTAAGCAATTTGACTCTAACAATATAAACACGTGGGGCAGCCTTGTGTGATGGAACCGAATGTTAGTCCAATTCACAAAGCTAGTGGATACATAATTTACTTTTGATCATATATAGCTTTTCAAAAAACCATAATAAAAAAACTCAAAATTTTCATGTGGAACAAAGTAGATTCATCTTCAAGTATCAATAGCTGCCAATATGTATTGTTCCCTTTAGTACAAAACCAAATAATGAATCTGAAAACCACAGTGGATAAGTATAAGTGGAATATTATACGTGGCATATACCACTGAAATAGCAGAAAATAAAATGCAACAAATAGCATAATTTCCCATACTTAAAGGTGATCCAACCCCTCCCCAAAATGTTCACACACTTTACCGTTGCCCAAGTTGCAATATGCAACAAGACATACAGCTGCTATACTGACTCAGATAATTTAAAAGGGCAGTGCACGAGGCTTCTGCTGCTGCAGAGTCTGCAGAGGGTTTTAAAATTATGATGTTTATCCAGCAGTCAAAGGTTGCAGGGTCCAGCCTTGTGGATAAGACAAGAATATTAGAAACAACTTATGTGAGCTTGTTGGTTCTACAATTTCAATCTAATACCAATTGACATCTGACATATGGAACTTGGAATTTATCCGTTCAAAACAAGCAAGATTCATCTTGTAATCAAAAATAATTTTAACTCAAAAAGGATAGAAGTAGCCTCAAACAACTGAGAAACTCACTGATGTCTCTTGATAGCATTCAGAAGTCGACTAACCATCACCGGGAAGGAGATATTAATAGTCTGCACTTGAAAATAGCGATAGCAAATTTCAAGAATAGTAGAAGATGATAACAGAGTGCCAAAAACTAGAGTTTAAGGAAATTGAAGTACTAGTGGGTGCTGTAGTACTAAAATGTAAAATGCAGGTACACAGAGTGAACAAACTAATTAGATACCTGAGACTGCATGCAAACTTCTTCAACATCGCTCAACTTGAATCTTCTAAGATTGCATGGCACAGAAATCTCTAAGGCATTCTTAAGCCAATTCAATCCATCCACTAATGAGCTCCACAACGAACAGGATTTATAAATGGCAGGGAGGGGGCCAGTAACCTCCAATAACATCTCAACTTCCTACAACAACATAGCTCATCAAGAATATAGGCAAACATAAAGATAAGAAATAGGATATTTAGAGTGAAATATGCCACACAATCAAGGAGACCATGTAATGTTTGAATTCACGATCAGTCACCTCAAGTGCGGGAGCGATGGCACAGAAAGAAAGGGCCTTAAAGCACCATTGAAGCATAGAACAAGCATCTTGAAGTTTTGGAATCACACCAAGGTCAAAACCAAGAGATAAAATAGCTTTTAGGGCAGATTCCATTGCAGCAACTTGATGCTCAATTCTTGAAAGAAGACCGCTGGAAATTCCATCACCAACATTTTCAATAATCAATAGGCTTTCTGCATCATGCAGTAAAGAGCACGCATCCTGCTCCCATTTCAAGCAATTATTTAAAACTGTTTGAAGCGTAGATCTTTCTCTCAAAGATATCTTCAGCAGCTTTGACTGTGAGACTAAGTCCTACAAAATACAACATATCATTATATGTGTGTTTCTTCACTGTTAGACAAACACAATTATCCAAGGAAAGGATGGGAACCTTCAGTGCGTCAACTTTAAGCAAAGAACTTGAGGAAAGCGCCACAGGTATGTCGTCAACTAAAAATGGCTTGGACTTATTTAACCATGACTTAGCCATTGATATTGCATCCTTGACATCATCAAGGGATGGTAGAATAGCACATATGTCCTTAGAAGTCCTGGAATATTGACACTAGAAGTTGTAACAGTAGAACATAAGCTGCAGAACACGAGAAGCGACAAATAACAGGTGCAATATAAGCTAAACCTCAAAAGATCCTCGAAATCAGACATCTGAGCCTCACTTGCAAGAATATGCTTTGCCTTTTCTTCCCAACATATACCAACTGCATGCAGTCCAGAAATTTCAGCAAACAATTTCTCTTTCTCAACCTGCAATCTGGCATATATTGGCATGTGAAAGTCAAAATTTTGAAAATGTAAAGAGAAAATCTTAATTGTTCTTAATCTGTAAGAAGCATCAAACCAAGGAGCATACAAGCTTGCCTCCCTCAGTAGTGTCTGGATGAAGTCCAACGACATTTTGCAACGAAGTACCTGTAAAGTTGCATGAAGTGATCAAATTTTATCGCATAAATTAGGGAACACAGAACAAGAAGCACCAAATCAGAGTTGTGAATGATGAACCAAACCCATTGAGAACACAGAGCATTTCTTAATCAAGAAGATTCGAGGAAATGGAATAAATCTAAAAAGTAGCAGCACACAGCAGAGTGAAAAAGATGAAATGCATTTTGTCACCTTGCGGGCTTTTACCCTGCAAAGGGCCTTCTTTAGGTCAACTTCAAGGTCCTCAAAAAAAGGCAACACATCAACTACATTAAGAAAAAGAAATTAAGCCACACTAACAAGAAAAAAATAGTGGGGATCTCCCAGTGACATTAAACACACATTCCTAAAACAAACAGAATCTGCAAACACTGGTGACAGAACCTCGAATTTTTAACAACTCTCCATCTCTTTTGATGCATTGTAACTCATCAACAACATTTTCTTGATCATCCCGGTTATGAAGATTCACGAGAACATCATTAACACGTGAAACCCAAGACTCAGCATCTGTGTGATATTGCCTCAGAAGCTCTAGTTCCGGAATTTTAACAGGAAAACCATCCAATTCAAGAAGCAGCAATTCAAGTTTCTGCACAGATTAAAGGGTGCATCCCACCCCATTAGGTTTCAATTCCACGGATCCTTCAAAGAAAAAACTTATTAGAATATCTATAAGGCACAACCTTTAGGCAAATAGAACCTTTCAACATCTCATTGCACCGAGACCGGCATGATTCAGCTTGCTTTATCAAATCCAAAAGCATTTCAGCCTCAGGTACTTGAACTTGAAGCTCCAAAATCTGACAAACATTAATAATGCAAAGAGGTATAAACTTAAGTACAGAAGACAGAGAAAACACAGAATATATATAGAAAAGCAATCCAAATCACCTCAGATTCTAGCTTGTAGAGGATATCTGCCTCAACTGTAGCCGGGAATTTCACTGATATGCATTTTCTTGCAGTGTCTACCCAGACCTATAGGACCCCAAAAATTGGATAAATTGAATAGCAGGGATTAAGCGCCCCTAGAGAAGTGCATCTAAGAAATTGATATATTTAAGCATTTTGCTAAATTTACTTCATCGTTGCAATTTTTAGGGGTTAACAGAGACAAAAGAAAGCAAATATTATCAAGAAGGCAATATCAAATATCCACATTTCAAAAGCCATAACATCAGGTCAGAAAGTATAATACAAAGTCATCCCCCTTTAACTGGGTAGTCTTCTTACCCATCCTGAGGAAATAACAAATTGCTTCCTAATGACCCCAGAAACTATATAGAGTTAATTCCAAAAGTCCTTTCAAATCCACAACAAACACATTACACAGTTCAAAAGAGCTGAAAAATAAGTGAATTGTCCAGAGCAATCTTTCCTAAAGATAAAACACCATACACGTATTGCAGGTGTCAATACAACATACCTTTGCAGAAGACAGCTTATGTAACAATTTCTCACTTTCTTGCACAAAGATTGGTGAGCTGAAGGCTTTGCTGTACAAGACTTCCAGATCAGCAATCTGAATTGACAACAATCAAAGATCACAACAAGATTGATCAAAGATCACAACAAGATTGATCAAAGATCACAACAAGATTGATCAAACAGAATGAAGGGAACCCACATCAGATATACAATGCAATCAAATACAAAAAGAAATTTCTATTTCACACAAAAATTTGAAGAAAGAAAAACAACTATTTGAGCATTGAAGTGTAGAGCTTGTTTACAGAAGCTTTTGAGCATGTTGAAAGCACAGGATTCATTTCTTGAATCAGAACTCTAGCTTCTTGTTCATAAGCCTACATACAATAAATTAAACAGCTGTCAGAGTTCAATTAGCAAGGTGAGCAAACAACCAGAAAAACCACATCTTATTAGGTTTTTAACCTTCAATTTAAGATGCCCAGGTTCATTGCAAGGCAAGGGATCAAAGCTGAGCAAATTGTTTACATGCTCCATCTGCACTTTTTCAACATCATCGCTGCTATCACACTTCCACAGTTCCACTTTAGAAAGACAATCTCTTATATCTTCAGCCCATTTCTTAGCTTCAATCAAGTTCTTTGCCATGTCTCGCACCTACATCCATAAGTGCAATAAACACAAGTTCTTAAGCCACAAAAATACTGTATACACCTTAGAGAGACCAAAAAAAAAAATGAAAAACTATGAAAGCAAAAGACTTGAAGCTCACAGGATCCATTTCAGAACCAGCCCATAGAAACTGTTCAGCTTCTTTTAATGCATTAGTATAAGCATCACTTGAGTATGGATTCTGAAGAATCTTACAACATGTCAGAAGCCATTCTTCAGCAAGTTGAGTATGAGTGACATGGCGGCCTTTCAGCTACATACAGAACAAAGCTGTGATTCAAAATTGTTACATAACAACTCCTATGAGCATAGCAGCGGATTGCACGTGTTTCAAAAGCTATTACACCTTGATGTCGATGAAGTAATGAGCATGCAATCCCAGTAAGAGCAACCAAGACAAATATTATTCAGAACATTTTGTCCTAACGACAATGCGATTACACAATCCATGAAGAATTTTAATAAAAAAGAAAAGAAAATATTATTCGTTGATGAAATCCAAAGTACACCTCTCCAACCGTATCTATCTCCACTTCAAATACGAAGTGCATACCACAAAGAATGTTTCTGACAAGAAAGTTCCAGGGGAAGTGGGATTTTTAGTTTGTATCAAGATGATAAATTTGCATAGCATTGGTCATTGTGTTTCTAGATCTTATGCGATACCATGATACACAAAAGCATCTCCTAACTAATCTTCATCAATATTATATATATAAATAAAAATTTAGTCATCACTTATCTGATGTCTTTGTTCAAACTTTTTGCGCTTAATACTTTCTGTGGTCTTTCTAAAACTTTTTTGTATCAAATAGAATCTGAAAAACCGAGCCATCAGATTTACATCAAGTAGTATCAAGCCCACATACTCCAGCAAGAAAAAACAAGTAACACTCAAAGTGGATCTCCACTATACAAATATCAAAAAAGTTGACTTATACAGTTCCCAGAAAAGTCCCTCAATAAGAAAATCACAGAAGTCCACCCACAGCCAAAACAGTCATCATAACAAAACACCATGCTTAAAATATTTCAAGCACAAAGCAAAGTAAGCACCATATAAATTTGGACAGTCAGAGATCATGGTTCTAACTCCTAAAATATGTATGATCTGCACTACACTGCAGGGTCACTTCAAGTTTAAAGGCCACTCAGACAACTGCCTAAAGCAGTAAAGCCTCATTTGAAGAGAGGCTGCATATTTTTTGTAACTATTAGTGATAACTGATAAGTGTATCTTACCCCCAAAAAAAAGTGATGAGTATTTTCCATTGTTTATAGATTATTAGTGAAGAGCCAAAAAACCATTGTTAACAATGCTTTATTACCTTTACAAACACATCCCACAAGAAGAGTCAAGTTTTGTCTCTAGACCCATGGTTGTTAGTATCTTACAAAATATTTTGTCAAATAAAAAACTAAAGGAAAAAATAATGAGGATGATGAAGACATACAAAAGAGTGCAAAACAGAGGTAAAGACTTGTTGGAATCCGATAATAAAGATATTGATGCAGTTGAAACTAAAGATCAAGATGAAAATGTGATCCTATGGCCTATAAGAATGAATCGTTTTGGATTTTGTTGATATTTGAATTTTGATATTGATGAACTATATTGTAAACTCAAATCATTAAATTTTATTTTGAAACTTGGAGTCTATTTTAATCTTGTATGGAATTTAAGTTGAAAAACTACTTATCCCTTTTTGGAACTGTAAATATGTAAGCTTAAAAATGTAAGATACACAACAGACTATTTTAAGAAAACGATACACACTAAGATACACATTTTGACAACCTTGTCTAGTAGACCCATGTGCTCTTTTCTATTTTCTAGTTGGTGGAAGACTAACCCAAAAACACTGAAAACACACTTGTCTCTTCAGCCTTCCCTCATTCTCTCTTCTGAGTCTTTTCCCTTTAGTCCCTACTCTCTACAATCACATGCGGCACATACTCCCTCTGCGACTTATTCTAAAGGATTTCAAATATGAAATAAGATATCAATCACTTTCTTGATCATTTTCATTTCCTCTTTGATCAAGATTTCTAATTAGTGTTTCTAAATATTATTTTCAGTTCCAAGTGGTAATTTTTATGGGAATTATAGTACAATTCCATATTTACAATCTTAGCTGCCAACAATGATAAATCAGGTTCTACTCGTCTATACTTTTAGAATTTAGTTTACTTCATTCTATTACTGCTCTCACAATTTTTCATTATAAAGAATGTTTCAATTTTCAACTATTTTTCTAATTATAAATATGATAAAATTAGAGAGAGAGAAAGAAATAGAAAAAAAAATCCAATCTCCAAAAGGATCTCTTCATACATTTGTTAATTGTTACTAACAATAAACTAGATCCACCAAAAAATTATAGGATTCATTTTTATCTGAAAAAGCCTCATTTAGAGTTATTGCCTTTGGCCTCAAATTTCATAGAGCCAGCCATGTACACTAGCATATAAATGATAAAAAAAAAAATTGAATTGACATGACACAGGTAAAAGAAAATGATAAGAACCATAATACTAAAACCAACTCAAAACAAACTTTGCACCACTAAACAGTAACTAAGTTACCAAGAAAAAAAACACTTAACAACGGTAACACCACCCAAACAATAAAAAATTTCCAATAGCCTAGCAGTCATCCAAAAAAAAATTATGATTTAAAACCTTTTTGGATGAGGCAGCCGAATCATTTGAACACAAAAGTTGCCTTCGCGAATCTCTAACTGTCTCAGAATTATGTTTATTGGCCCTAAGCACCAAATCACTCAATTCCGCTAGCGTGTGACGATAAAGGAGACGATGTTTCTTCGGTTTGCATTCACAAAGGTGTTCCCAATGCTGTGTAAGAAAAAAGAATCTAGTGAGTTGAAGAAAAGAATTTCACAAGGAATCAACTCTTAACATTGAACGAATGTTTGAATAAGTCTGGAGTGATTTCCAGTTGACTACAGTACAAGGCCCTTCAACATTCCAATAAAATACTTGAAGATCACCAAAAAACCGAATTTGAGATAACACTGTCAGAATGATATATAAAAATGGATAAATGAGAAACCAAACGAAACAAAACCTTGTCCCATATATTTGGGTTAAGAACACAAATTAAAATGGATAGATGACAATAAGTTAATCAATCGCACAAGCAAATATCAAATCTTACCATCACCAACTACCACATTAATGGATATGTATGCCCGTAAAAGTAAGTTTTTCCTTCCATTATTATTTTCCACGCGTCCAGGCTGGGCGGAAGTAGAGGAGTTCGTTTTAAAATAAACCAAATACAAACACAAGGAGGCTTTTCTACTGCAAGCTTCATTTTATAAGCTTAAACTTGAACATTATGACAGTACACAAAAATTAACACCTTGCTTGGAATAAAAAAACCCTCAGATTTTATTAAGTTCACTTACCTCCAGACAAACAAAAGAAGAAGGCCTACAGCGGCAAACCACAGCAGAAAGATACAAAAACTGTTGACATATAATGCAAGTAGGATCCTTCAAAAAACAACCAGGTGGTACACGTCAGTGGTGCGCATAGACCCAGTATCATTACCATTATATCGAATAAAGTCAAAAATCAACAGGTAGGCGTAAGAGTATGGATTTACCTCTTCAGTACCCACATACTCAGGCTGCTTCCGAGGTGGCATGAGAGAGGAATTCACAATGCCATTTCTCCAAAGTTGATTTCTCCACGTTTTCTCTTTATCAAATATTCTAAGCAATTCCTTTTTCAAATATGGCGATGCTTTGCTATCAAAATCACTCTGCAAATAAGATAATCAAACTTGAGCATATGTTACTATCAATCTAAAGAATTACCCACAGGCTTCAACTTAACAACAAAAAATTAAAACAAGAGAAGGACATTTTAAAAAAAAAACCACCAACATTAACAGCATGATTCTAAATATTAAGCAGCAATTCACATGAGTGGCCTGAAAATAAGGGAACATAACAGTTGAGAATTACTCAGCAGAAGTAGATCCATAGTTCCATGCTCTGAACTAGATGAAGACATGTTATACAGTCAACAGAAGTTTTACACAACTCTCACAACAGAGTCTGCGACAATTATAATGTTTCATTACTAAAAAAGAAAATAACATAACCGTTGTTCCTGTTTCTTATCAAAAAACAAAAAAGAACTACATGAATAATACTAGAAGACAAATCTAGTGCGCATGGATGGTTATAAAACAAGTTGCCAATTCAATTTGCTGCCTTCCAGTCGAGAGGGCACTACATCATTTAGAAAATGAAGGGGTTCCAAATTCCAGTCTTTGCTTTGAAATCCATTTGCTCATTAGTTGTGATTCCCTGCAGACCCCAATATTTATAGAGTTTCTTTCCCCTCTTGGAAGGGGAAACATTTATCACCAACCGTGATAATTTAAGGAAATTGCTTGCACAAGCTTGAACATGAGGAACAAAGACACCGAATGCATCAAAAACAAGAGTAACTGTTATCAAAAAGTTGAAGGTGCTACAAGCATAGAAGACAAGAGCTATACCAACAGAGAGACGGACTGAGTTAATAAGAAGAGGTAATTAGCATCTAAGAGAACATGCAGCCATAGATAACATGGGAAAATTAGAACTGTGTTCACAGTCTCAAGCAGTTCGAATAGGTGTGGGTAGATCACTGAGTATATAACAAACTTTGTGTTCATCAGAGTCTGAGTTTGGCTTGGTCTCCTTAGAGATACTTTTTCATAATCAAGAAGCTATAAGTTCCTGCCCCCACACAACAAAAAAAGTACTAGTTAAAACACTTACAACCTTGGCTACCACATAAATTAGCTCTTCGTGAGATAAAACAGCAGCTTTGCGATAAAGTTGGTATCGCTCTGCTCCAAAACCACCATGAGGTAGCCAATCAGCAGGAGCAAAATTGACAGCCTCAGCACAATTTAAGCCTGTGAGAAACAAAGAGTAAATAAGATACCCAAACCACTAGGCACTACATATGATGTGTCATGATAGACTAAGACTGATACATCAAGCCTGCAATTGAACAACAGTAAATTACAAATGGTATGGCTTACCAAAGTTGAAACCTCCATGGTAAGATCTGGGGAAGGTGATGACAAAGTTCCCAGGCTCCTGGCAGAAAGAATGTCAAAGTATTTATATTACTGTATCCAAGTACAGGCAATGGTGCTCGAAAGTCAACTACACAATAGATTACAACAATAGAGAGAACGCATGACTAGTTATGACACTTAAGATATGGAGATGAACATTCACTTAATACAGTCAATAAGAAAATTCAAGCCCACGGATATCCTTGATCAAAGTTCAAGCCTCGACATTGAATTTCCTTTTCTCTAGAATATAGTGTTACAACATCCAACCCGAAACCAATTGGTAGAGTGGCCAACCTACCTTAGTAGCAAAGTTGTTAGTATCGTACGATACGTTACGATACAGCCCTAAAACGATACGGATCGTAGTTATGTATCGTTTTTGCGTTGTATCGTCCGATACACGATACGTTTTTACGATACGATACGTATCGGTACGAAACGCACGATACGTGCAATTTTTTTTTTTTTTTTTTTTTTTTTAAAAACGACAAGTGAAGACTTGTTGGCATCCGATCACAATGATGATGATGATGATGCATTTTCAATTGAAATTGAAGATTGAGTTCAAAATGGATGTTAGAAATTTGGATTAGAAGTCTCTTTGGTGTTTAAAGTTTGAATTAGTGAACTATGGTTGTGAACTTTGCATTATAATAGTAGTGGATTATGTTGATAACTTGAATAGTTGGTGGAGTATTAATGAAATGCTATATTTTTTATGAGTGTATGACTTTTTTTCAAAGGTATATATATTTTTTTATTATTTATTTAAAATTGCATCGTATCTTACGATCCACGATACGATACACGATACGATACAATATTTGTATCCTACGATACGCCTTCCGATACACGATTTGATAACTATGCTTAGTAGTCCTAATTATCCGATGTGGAATACAAACTCTCTTAACACCCTCCCTTGTATGAGACCTGGGTTCACACGTGGGGTCAACAAACAACCAACCATGCATATGAGAAAATCTAAATGGATAAGAAACTTGACCCACTGACCACCCAAGGCCCTGCTCTAGTATCATGTTAGAGCATCTAACCCAAAACCAATTGATTATGGGTGGAGAGACCCCTCAAGTACATAAACTAACCTTGGTTGTCTTAATTATTTGATGTGAAATACATGCTGTCAACAAGCAAACAAACAATCATGCATACCAGGTAATCCACGTACGAGCTAGCCCGAGTCCCACGTGAAGGAGGGTGTTGAGACAGCTCATATCAGACATCAAATAATTAGGACCACCAAGATTAGTTCATGTACTTGAGAGACCTCTCCATCCATAGCCAATTGATTTTGGGTTGAATGTTCTAACATGGTATTAGAGCAAATCCTTGGATGGTCAGTGAGCTAAGTCTCTTACCCATTTGAATTTCACGGTGTGTACGATAGTTTTGTTTGTTTGTTAAGCCCGGCTCACACGTGAGTGAGGGTGTTAAAAGAACTTGTATCCACATCGAATAATAAAGACCACCAATGTTGGTTTATAAACTTGAGAGTTACTCCACTCATTGCCAATTAGTTGTGGATTGGATCTTCTAACATATAGGTCTAGAATAAGACACTTGATGAAAGTTCAAGCCTTAATATTAGATATATTCCAAGATTGTTACATGAAAACAATGAAAACTTGCAACAAGGAGATTTGTAAGGAGAACGAATATCCCAGGCAATCTTAGTAAAATTTTGTAGCATATGAAAGACCAACATGGCCACCACTTGCTCCTCTAACACCTAGTTTACAATTCATAGTGCAAATACTATCCAAATCCAAATGATATTGTCTCTTTGTTTGATATCTACTGATAAATTGGAGTAAAAATGATTTATCCATGACTTTGACAATGAGAATGTTGATCTAAAATTTCATACACTATCGCATAACAGACAAAAGCGAAACTATTGGTGCGCAACTAATCTGGACTCAAACACATGACAGTCAAAATGGTTTATTTTCAAAAACAGAACTAGTAAAAACTTCGATTATAGGTTCTTTTTTATGCTTTTGAGTTTGAAATCTAAAAAAAAAAAAAAAAGGATAAAAGCCCAACTTTTTGAAGCGAAGAACAAATTTCTTTAAGAAGTCATAACATACCATTTTCTTCTAATAGAGTCAACCAGGAAAGTTTTGTTTTTTGCCTAAGAAATAGAGAACATGATAAATGATAAAAGTACACAGGTACATGAGAGGACAATGAGTCCTCTGTAAGTCACAATAAGAAAATAAAATCAAAAGAGCTAAAAGAATAAGTTAAAGGAAAAGGCAAAGGCAAAGGCAAAGAAATGCAAAAATCCAAGGATCAACGATCTTCACACCCTTGGGCCCTATGATCCTTAAACAAGAAAAGTGGAACCTTTCAAAATCTTTAGTCATAGTCATAGAAGCCCAAAGAGATGCTATGAATGAAATTTCATCCCACAAATCTCCCCAAGGAGTCTCCCTTTCATTGAAAATTCTCCTGTTTCTTTCTAACTATGCCATCCAAAAACATAGCCAATACCACACATCTCCATAAAATCATAGCTTCGTTATTTGAACCAAAGCCCTCGAAACCAATAAGAAACACCCAATCACAACATCTAGGAATCACAAAAGGAGTTCCAATCACTGCCAAAAGCCTATTCCACAATTTAGAAACATAGGAAGTGTAAAAATAAGTGATCCATTAATTCCTCATCAATCTATATAGGTAAGCTGATGATATACCTGACTTGAAATGAAAGCCTTATTTAAATCAAAAACTAGAAAAAATACTAAACAAAAAGGACAAAGGAATTTTCATCTGATTCATCCACATCAGCCTCTTGAAATTAATTCTGAAATGAAATTATCATTTTAAGGTAAAAACAGATTCTACTTTTAGCAAGCTCTATAGTTGAGACCCTCAAGTTTTAAGTTTAACTCAGGATTCATCTGAACGCCCCCAGAAGAGCAAACATATATGAACCAATGAGGTAATTGCAGCTCACTCCATCATACAAAAAAATGCGCCCATATCTCAAGTTAAAATGATGCGAAAAAAAAATCTACATTCATCTTATCAAAAGTGCAAAATAAAACTGAGTTTCGTTTTCCCACAAAAACTATTGAAAACCAAAACCTCGCGCCATGCAAGAACTCACTTTCAGAAACAATATTAATTTTAAAGAAACTCAAAAAAGTAGTTTCACTAGAATTCATCAGCAGACAAAGGCACAAATAGTTAAATAGCAAGTTCAAGTGTTCATCATACCTGTAGCACACTGTAAACTGGGACCCTATTTTCTTGCAATACGGATGGATTCAGCATAGTGACAAGCTGAAAAAGTAAATCCGGTTGTGCATCGAACAGATCAGGAAGACTATCCCTCATCACCTGAGAAATATAAAAATGGTCAATGACAAACATGCTCTGACCATAAGTGCTAAAAAAACACTACTTTGACATCCATAAGTAAAAAACTGACATACATATTTAGCATGCTGCAAGATAATCCACCAAGTAGCAATACATAATATGAAGGATAATCAAGAGAAAAGTCATTATAAAACTAGGCCCCAATTACAGATAGTGATGGGAAGGGTGGATTGGGTACGACCTAACCTTTAACAATATTTGCACAAAGTGGTTGCCCTCATATTTGACCCACAACCTTTGCAATTTGACTTGTTGGCCAGAGCATTTTATTACAACTTTAGGAAATAAATTTTTGGCACCTAAATCAAATCACATATTAGAGTCAACTGAAACAAGTCATTATCTCCGGCATGTAAGGGAGGAAACTGCAGTGCACATGGTCATAAACTCCGGCTTACCCTCACCTCAATCTAGAGTCTAGACATTCATTAGCTACTAGCTCTGCATAAAGGATCTGTCTGCCTGACACAACCATCAATACTAACCACCAGTCAAGCATATTTTATGTAAGTTTTTGGTTTATTATAGCTCTTGAATTCCGAACGATAATTTTCACATCTCCCGAGTATTATATTAACTTTTTTAAGCCTATTTTAGAAGATAGGACAATTTGACCAAATTTGACAGAGTGGCCCATCAGAATGCAGTCTACCACAAATGAAGTTGGAGCTAATATCCAAAGCCCCTCAAGTTACTTAGTCTGTGTTGGATACAGCAGATGCCCCCCGGCCCCAAAAAAAATTGCCCTCCGAACTAAAAAGGGGTAATCAAGTTAAAAGGTGCTTAAGTTAAGCTGATGAGCCGGGGCATGTTAAATAAATGTCGGGCCAACCTTGACACATGAATTTGAATGCCTTCAAGTTCAATTGACTTCATTCATACACTTGTCAGCCTTCATCACCAATGCTTGAACAACATTCAAGCTGACCCAATCCAAGCTTATATGCTCAGATACTTCGTTCAGCCCAACTTGGCAGGGCACAATCGCAGTCCTAATTTTGACAACGGGAGAAGATCTAATTGGAACGAGAAAGTTGATAAAGAAAACACATTTGAGCAGTCCTCCAACAGTACTTTGATCCAATTTCATGCCCACAATCACCTTTTCGATCTCTTCATCTTAATCATGATTGTCAAATCTCTATTTTGACATCAGATACCCAAAGTCCAAACATAGCTTAGAAGGACCAATGGCACAACTAACTATTATTCACCATATAGGAAATCTAAGAAAGGTGTCACACATGCACACAAAAGGCCAGCATCTCATGATTAAATCTGTACTTAAACTAAATTGATGAAACACAGGAAAGAAATGAGAGACAAAAATCAAAGCATTTGATTAATGAATAAAGGCCGGCATCTCATGATTAAATCTGTAAACTAAATTGATGAAACACAGGAAAGAAATGAGAGACATAAATCAAAGCACTTGTTTAATGAATTCTACTAGATTATTATTTATATGTTAAAAATAGAAGTAACAAAATAAGACATGCATTGGATAAAAATTACCTTCTCAAAAGCTGAGGCCTCATTGCCAGGAACACTGTACCAACATTTTGGCTCTCCCCTGAAAGCATTTGATAACCACTGAATATATTTTTTAAGGGAAGGAGCGAGGAGGGAGAGACAGAGAGCAGTCCATTTTACTTCCATTGAAAAGACTGAATATGTTTCGTTATATTTCATTTACCATAGACCAAAAGCATGATACTAACATATTCAAGAGAAACACCTCCATTTCATTCATTAAGCAAGCCAAAATTTTCATTCACACCTATGTTTTAACATGTGTGAAGATTAATGCATTTCAGCTTCCCTTGAGGCACCAACACACAGGTGTTAAGACACAAATCCTATTGTGAGGAGCAGATGTCCCAGGTTATGACTTTCCTCATGCCAAACATATGATTATTCCCCTTTGTTTTCCCAAAGGATGAAAACCACATACACACTATATAATATACAGCATGAAATTGTTTGTGTTCCCGTATTCCTCCTGATTGTTTCAAAAATATAACGGAATTTCACAATTCAAGGTAGCCAAACCATCCATGGCTCCCACTACCAAAAATATTCTCTTGCAAAAAGAAGGTCATAAGAAAAAGAACAAATTATACAAGGCAAGAATAACAAAAAGCATGCAGTGTGCAATACTAAAAAAAATAAGGCAATCCTGAAATTTTGTGTGAGACACTTTGGTGTATGTATCATAAAGTTCGTCTGGCTGAATTATTTCGTTGCTTAACCAGTCCTCCAGTTACTTGTTGTTCGCCCAAACTGCCGGATTGCCCGGAAGGGCACTCACCCAATCAAGAGTTTCTTCTTCCAATAGGGCTAAAATTCAATGATCTTTCCATCCTAACGTGCAGACAGAGAAGGGTCGTCTAAAACAGTCCAAAATAACAAGAGATCTAATAACTCAGGGCGGAGGAGATCCAGGGGCGGAGCCAGAAAGTCATGCGAAGGTGGGTACAAATATATCAACAAACTAAATTTTTTTTTCTTTTACAATCAATAGAACTAGGACAATAATTTATATTTAATTACATCCTATTTAATACTTAAAAGTTCATTAAACCCAACATACCAAAATTTAGTAAGCTTAATATATACAAACGACACCAATTTTTTTTTTTACAAAATATAGGCTAATTAAAATCACTTAGAATTAACTCCGGTGAATTTTGATACTTTGAAACCGTTGCATAACAACTTTATTATTCTTTATATACACCATCATTTTATCACTTTGATATTTATAATTCATTTGATCAATTATACAATTCAATGTGCATTCTATAATTTCTACCATAATTTACAAAATAAATGTTAAAATCACAAGTAAACTAGCGAATATATATATGATATTTTTTTAGTCTTAAAAAGTATAAAATGATTCTAGTATATTCAAAATTTATCTAGATAGGTACAAAACATATCCAAAATGTGTCAAAAAATTCATATTTATTAATATTAGTGGACACTAATTGATGTGCCAAAAAATAGGGTGAGCATAATTAAAAATATTGAAAAAATACTTGAAATACATATAGGTAATGTTAAGAAAAAAAATTTGAGGGTGGACATGTGCCCCCCGAGCATATGCTGGCTCCGACCATGCTCTCTACTAAACCCATCAGCTGTGCAAGGAACAACAAAAAAACCTAAGGAACTGAGGAAGGAACTTTACTCTGTTTCTTTTGGTTAGGTAGTTGGGAGTGAATGAGACAGAGAGAAAAAAAAATAACTAATAAGATAGGTGTTACTCATGTCTGTCAAGTGGGCCAAAAATTTTGTTTTTTAATGGTGGGCCAAAATTTTTATTTTTTTAATAAGTTTAGGTAGATTGTGATAGATCAAAGATTTGATTTTTTAATAAGTTTTGGTAGATAGTGGTGGACTAAATTTTTTTCTTTTAAATGGGCTTAATTTTTTAATTCTTTTGAGTAAATAATGTAGGCCTAACATTTTTATCTTAATTTTGGGTGGCCACAAATAATATATTATACAAATATATAATATATATACCTAACTAATTAAAATAAAATAAAAAATTTGAGGGGGGCACTTGCCCACCCTGGCACACGCCTCCATCCGCCCTTGAGGAGATCATGTAGATGAGTCTACACAATCTCAAGTCAATTCACTAATTATTTATTCAAAGACAAAGGAGTAAAGCGGATATTCTGAAAATAATTATGTCGTGCAGCCCAAGAATATTGAAAAAACAATGGCTGACATTGAATCAAAGTTGCCTTTAGACATGACTAAGTTGCGTGCTAGTTGCTCTTGCTCCAAAATAGTGCCAAAAGTGTTTTCTAATGAAATTCCTTACATTGATGGCTTTCAATTGATAACAACAATGTCTCAAGTGTTTGATTTGTTTGCATCTTCCAAGAATTTAAGTGAGCATAAAAATCCACTAATTCTATCATACTCTAACAATAGTCAAGAGAAGTTCAAGTTTGTAACAAAAGAAGATATCATCATGAACAAGGGGAAGGCTACAATTGAATGGCACGCTACACCTCCTACTATGCAAAGTCAATTCAAGTATGTTTTTTCTATTCACTTTACTCCACCAATTGATTTTGTGATTCTAGAGAAGTTTAACGACGGAATTGAGAAAATCAATCTCCCAATTTTTTTTTATTTCCTCAGTTCATAAATAAAAGAATGCAAGTTCAAAACTCGAGGTCGAATTTTCTCCAACTAGAGGAGAATGATGCAATCTATAAGAAGCTTAAGAAAACACAAATTCGAAGATGTGAAAGACAATGGAATGGCAAAAATCCATATGGAATCTTGCATTATTGTTTTTTGAGTCTTATTTTAAATTAGTTTGAAATAATTTGTTAGTATTAGTATTTTATGTCCTTTTAATAGGTTTTAGAATTTTTGTTATTTTCAAATTTTTGCGATGTGTCATAATCTAACCCGTGGATCGTCTTTTGGGTCAAACTCTAGTATTTGATATGCTAAAATTTAGAATCTTGATTCTAGTTTGTTTTAATTTTCTAATTTTTAGTAATATAGAGTTTTTAGAGTCCTGGAGACTTTATAATCCTAATCTTTTAGAATTATGAGTACTTAAAACTCTATATATAGGTAATGATATTTTTAATAAAATATAGAGAGAGATAGTTCAAAATTTTCAGCAATTATATATTTCTTGAGTTGTATGACGCAATTCTAACCCTAGGTATGATGACTAAAGAACCCTAGGAGTGATTCTTAACCAATATTACAAATCACATCCCCGTTCACAGCCCTATTACTATTCACATATACTGTTCACAGCCTCCAAAAAGTACTAAGATGGATTTCACCTAACCGTGCTATATCAGCGTGTGGTGTGTTTATTTGTTGGCATTGTGCAAGTGTGAAAAGATAAATAAATAAGAAAGCCAATCAAGAGGCTATTCACCAAAATAAGTTCACTTCCAAACCAAACCCCCAAGCGGGTTGAGCGCATTATGACAAAGCTCTAAATTCACTAGAGTCTAGACCATAAATGGGGACACGAACAATCTGCATGCAAAGTACACAAGAGTTTCAAGGGAATGGGGGAAAATGACAATCTAATACACTCTCAAGTCCCAATGAAATTTGTAAAAAGAGCGCAATACAAAACCTCCAAGTTTTAACAAGATTAGAACCTTATGCTTGGAAAATGATATCTCTCACAAAATGCAAAGAAACTAACCAAGAAGGGGGAGGGGGATGAACCAGAGATAAAGTTACAAACACTTCAAAGGCTTTCACAGTTCACCTAAGTACAGCGAAATAACAAAAAAACACCTATCAAGGCTGCAAAAAATTAAAGAAATGGGTGCTAAATATATGACAAATAAAATATGGCCCTACATTAGGCCGCCAGAACTGAAGTAACCTTGGCATTGATTTTTAAGTTATTTTTTATGAAACTAGCAAAGTAGCAATGCACTACATATGTTGCACATGAATATATTTAAATAATATTTTTTCATAAAAAAATTAAGTTTTAGATGTAATTAATTTGAATAATAAATTACATAGTTTTAATTCATTTTTATTTTAATTATGGTTAAATTTAATTACTAATCTATTCTACCCCCCTTCGAGTATCTAATATGTTATTTGTTTATGTATTTCTCCAACCTCTTAGATATTTTCTCTTTTGTTTATAACGAATATTTATTGTAAGAATGTCATTACTAAGTATTTGCACATCCAATTATATTATAAATTTATGACATTTTGTCAAAGAATTGATTAAATTACAATACTATTGTTTGTATTGCAATAATATGATATTGTTGCATGTCAAAAAATCAATTATAATATATATTAGACTATAGAATAATAAAATATAGATTGAACTTTATTTTTTTATATAAATACAGACATAAATATAGAAAATTGTATGCAAGTGTACTACTAATAAATGAGTCCAAATTTAAAAATCAGATACAATTAATAAAAGAGTCTAAAAGAACTTAGAAGTCAAATATATATAAGAAATAAAAATTGAATGAAAATAATATAGAATTTAGAAGACAAATATTGTTAATAACAGAGTTCAAAAGAACTTAGAAGTTAAATAGGTATAGGAAACACAAATTAGAGTAAACTAATATATGGGTATTATTGACTTTATAATAAAAAAATCAAAAATTATGAATAAAATAAGAAATCAAAAATTTTTCACAGATGCTAACATTTATAAGTAGTATAGATGTATAAATACACCAAGTGGTTGTAGAGAGGGTGAACCATATATGATACACAAGTACACTGCCTGTTACCCTCAAGCATTCAATCTCATTCATTATGCATATTTGAGGCAAACTGAGGAATGTTTAGAAAAGGCACAGAATCTTGGAAAGCTAGAAATCGTTGTGGTGATACATGCATAAATTTGTCCCACAATAGTTTGGGAAAGCTAAACTGTGCCAATGATTCAAGATTTCTGTTCCAACACCTTTTTTATAATCATTTGTTTTAAATTTCTTTCCTGATTTATTCACAGAATTGGTAAATGAATGTAACAAGCATCCCTCCTGAATTATCCTGCCATATATTTAGTGCCCACATAATTTTGTTAATAACAGTGCCACGATTTTGAATTTAAAAAAAAAAAAAAAGAAAGAAAGAACTGAGATCATAGTTGTTAATAAAAAAAGCAAGCTCCGGATTGGATAGAAGGCCGACCAAGATACATACCAGTGAAGATAATTCATTGAATAAAAGCAATGGTCTTCAAAATGCCAGCAGAATGACGAGAATAACATCCCAATGTAAAGCCAAGGCACCATAACACCAGCAATGCTATTATGAACAGCTCGAAGCATTGATCCTGGTAGCTTGGGCAAGTTATTGAGATTCCATGGGCTAGCACAATACTCATCCCATATCTCCACTCCAACTGATATTGGTCTCTGGTCATTAATGCGTGGAAACCCACTGCCATAAACAGAAGTATCCAAGTCACTGCCATACATAACTTTAACCTCACCAACTGATCCCTCCACAATTTCCCAAAACTTTTTCTCCAATTGCACCCTTGAGGGAGATACCGACCCAAAATATTTCTTCTTGGCCCGATCAGCCATGCGCCTAAAATCTTCCAATGGGAATTGCTTACCAGGTACAAAACCAAAGCAATCCTTCTCTGAATTCAAGCACTCCAAGCAATACCAATTCCCAGGTGGTACCTGCTTCACAGGTGGTGACAGACAATATATATGCCATCCTTTGTTACACCTATCACACAACAACATTACGTCTCCATGCAAACCACTTCTGCATTGTTCACATATCTGATCAAGATCTTTCTCCTCGAACTTACACGCTTCAACACTCTGACCCAAATAATTCTTCCGCCTTCTCTTAGAATTTGAAAACTCAAAATCTGGTTTATTTTTCCTCCCACAATGCATCCCTCTCTTACGCCTCCTATATTTCTCTGGATTCAACTGATTATAATACCCTTCATAATCATAAAGATGCTCGCGATACAACTGACACAACACATGCTTAGCACACTCCGTAATCTTCCCAACAGACTTCACAAACCGAAAAACCTCCCCCCACTTCTTTTCATTCACAACCTTATCATAACCGCCAAACCGCTTCACCGCATTAAATAGTTTACACAAATCCAATTCCTCCCCTTCAAACACCACCTTCTTCTTAAACTTCCTACCACAATGTTCCTCCAAAAACCTATTGTACTCTAACTCAAACGTCTTTGAATCGCATGAGGCAGACCGGGCTTGTAACTGGTGAATGGCTTGGGTTTTGGTGGGAAAAGTGAACGAATTCAAATCTAAAGTAAAAGGGGGTTTCCAACTTTTGGGTGGAACAATTTTACAAATCCCATATGGCTCAGCCTCTGGCCTGATCTTATATATAAACTCTAAAGGGTCTTTAAATTCCTCTTCAGTTGGATAATACACTGGCCCAGGTGGTATTTTCAATAACTCAGATTGTGCTATACTACCACTTTGCCCCAATACCCCTTTCTCTACGGCCCTTGGCCTTCCTTTCCCCATTAAAAACTCAAACCATATATATACAAACCGACACCACCATATACATACATCAACTTATAAATATCTACCTCAAACTATGAAAGAACACCAAATATGGCAATTTCTAGAGTTTAAAACTTACCTTTTGGAGAGAGAGAGAGAGAGAGTCAAAGAGAAACGGGTTGCGATCTTTGAAGGCTATTGATTCCAGTTAGTACTTCGATTTCTTCCGCTAAGTCTATTTCTAACAGTTTCTCTTTCCCTATATCTTACGGGGATGGTTCGTTTTTAGGTTACCGGAAATAAAGATTTACCTTTTAGGGCCTAAAAGTAGCAGAAATTACGAAATTATTACACAAAGCCTTGACATGGTCAGAGAGAGAGAGAGAAGAGACCGTCTAGGTTTTAGGTAATTGATCGGTGTTTCGGACACGTATTAGAGACAAAGGAGGGTTGGAATGGACGGATGAGATATTTTCTGGGTTTGGATCTTTTGTGGGACCAGCACAAGCTCAATATGGACTTAGCACTCTATTGGCGTGATTTAACGAACAAAACTGTAACTGAAAAATGATGTTGTAGGGGGTAATTGGAGGCTTTCTTACTTCATTTGGAGTTAAATCTTGATATCACTCATTACCACTGAAAACTGACCGACCTATTCAAGATCGGCACGAATTCAGTTTGTATAGAAATTGATTTGAACCCGATGGGTCGATCTCGAATAATTTTTTAAACTCGACTCATTTGATTATGTGTAAAATAATCAAATTATTTAGGTTTTGCTCATTTTCTAAACAAATAAAGATTGCTTAACAAAATGAGCTGGATTCGAATTTACAAAACTCGATTCGATTATCAGTCCTATCACTTCACTCATTGATCTTATAACTAAAATGAAAGTAGAAAAGTGTTCTCTTCTTTTTTTTTGTGAATGTTTGTGTATGTTAATATTTAGGTGGTATCTTACTAAGGATTTCCAAAAAATATATTTTATAACTATAAAAAAAAATAATAGTGAAATTTAATAGATTGTGACTTTTAAATAAATGTTAGTATGATAGATGAGATAAGGTGATTCGTGAACTTAGTCAGTCGTGCATCATTTAATGGGAAAAAGATTGTTGAGCTGTGTGTATACAAGTGTTCATCATACGCTATTATTATGCTAATTTGTGTTATAAAAGATGATGATAACTTAATAGTTGATAATAGCATTTGAAATATAATTTGGTGGTGACATATTAAATTCATGTCGTACCTGCCCCCCCCCTGTTGAAATAGGCAAATCTTACGCAAGAATATGCTTGCAAATATAAATGTATTTAAATAGATCCACGAATGGTGTATGTCGCTTTTGGTAGCCAAGTACCCTCCAAAAAAAGGCAAGAAACAAGTCAATTCATGACTAAGGAGGTTACAGGGCAAGTTAGATGATTTGCATTAAATGGAGGCAACTACTCTCAGTGCTGTCACCACCGCCAGTTCAACCCCATTATTGTCGTTGTCTTTTTTTTTAAGCGTGTTTAAATTTTTTATTATTAGTAAATTTCAATTCTACCATACCCTATCTGATTTTATTGATCGACTACTCGAAATAATCGGATAGGCCAATTCAATACCTTTTGGTATTCTACAAAAAAATTAGGTAAAAATACAAAATATCTACAAAATTATATATATATGGTAATCCTTAAAAATTATAATTCAAAATCTAGAAATACTTATATTTTATTGATGTTTATGACATTCTTATATATGATGTATTGATGTTTTTATGACTTCCTGTTTTGTTTTATAGTAATTATTTATCTAGTATCAAATTTATTATGTTTTTTTTAGTGGTCTTAATGAATTGAACTAAACTGAATATTATGATGTCATTATTAGTTTATTGTGTTAGTTAATTAATATAAATTATTTAATTAAATTGTTAAAATAATTCAAAAACTAATAATTAAAAAATATATGTTCACCCAATTTTTTACTCAATTGTTTTGGAATGAATAGTATACTTGATCAGATATGTTAAATCAAAAAAAAAAAATTCACAAAATATAGAGTAAGTATATAAAATATCATAATTTTTATCCGTAAGGTAAGGTGAACACCCCTATCTCTTGTTATGGCCACGGCGGCCGATGATGATGATAGGGTAGTTATAGCCAAAAGTGGTGATAGTTTTGTTATGTGCTAGAGTGGTGGTAATGGGATGATATGATAGTTGTGATGATTGAGCGGGAACGGTAGAATGATCGCGTGTAATGGCTGATAATGGAGAAGTGGTGTTGGGACAATGGTGACGAAATTGATGGAGGTAGTTATGACAAAGTTAACAATAGTGATGTCGACAAAGTAGTGATTTATATTTATAGCGTAACCATTTTTAAATTTAAGTGGGGGTTAATTTTACTGGAGATATAGATAAGACAAAGAATAAGTAAACAAAAAATGAGAAGGGAGACAGGTGTCCATTATAAACGAGGTGAGCTGTCTTGCATTTAGAGACCTCAACGTAAATCCCAATGTGTAAATGTTTGTGCAAACGCGTTGAGAAACAAAGTGACGTCGCATCAACTATTTACAAGATAACACAGATGTGTAAATTGTAATGTAGTTGAAAGAAAGAACAATATGGGAGGAAAAATTAGAGGTTTTGGAATAAAAAATAAAAAAGTAATTTTAGTTTGAATAGTTATTAAATTCGAGTATTTTATTCATAATCTCTCTTTTTTTTTTTTGATCCATTATTTATAATCTCTTGAAGTTTATATCTATCGGAGTTGATTGACTATTTTAAAATACAAGATAATATATAATATGTTTTGTCCTAAATCTTGTTACAAATGATACTTTCATTTTGATTATTTTAATATTTTTATTTGTATTGGTTATTATTTACTAATATAAAATTTATTAAATTTTTGTTGAGTTTATAATGTGGTAATTGGGAGAGGAGTTGTAATTGATCAGTATGAATCTTTAATTATGTCAAGTTTCACTTGTTATGTTAACGAGATAAATTAGTTACAACGATGTTTGCGATAAATAGTTTAGTTGTGTGACATGTCATATAGAATTCATGATTCTGAAATTGTCGTATTGCCTATTGATTGTTTCTCGATTATCTCATCATTGCTATTTATATAATATATATTTTCTAATTTAATTATTATTTTATTTAAATTTTTTAGTAATATATTATAATTGAAATATTTGACAAATCAGTGATGAATGCGCCTTATTGATTGTTTGTAATATTGAAATAAAAAATTTAATTAGGAGCTAATTTTTATTCCAAAATTACATTAGGAGCTAATTTTTAAAATTTTTAATTATAATACATATTTTATTCTTCTTGAGTTAATGTAATTAAAATTAATTTTCGTATCTTTCTTTTATTTTAAACAATATAATATATATATATTTTTTATTTTTTCATAATCTTACTTTCATTTTCACTTTCTACACTAATTTCTTGCTAACCAATCCCACAGTGAAATGTATAAGGGAGGAGTTATTCCCACCCCATAAATTTTCATTTCTCCCTATTAAATTATAAATAATAAAACTACTAAGTTAACTCTTTTTATACGCACCCACTAGTAACTAATCTCACCCTATTCTATATCCATCCCCATCAATAATTAAACTTATCTAAATATTTACATTTAGGATTTTTTTTTCTACGACCATCTAACACAATCTATACATAAAAAATATACTCAACTGGATTATACTATGAGTTTCTTTCATACAAATTGCTTTACTTGTCGTCATCTGATTTCTGTCTACTTCAATCTCATATTTGAAATGATATTTCGATTTTTCTCTATGCTTGTCTTTTTTGTTTTCTTAATCGTCAGTTCAAGAAATTCGTAGAAAAAAAACATATTCTTCACACACAATTTCTCAATATATAAAAAGAAATCGATTAGAATTTTTGTCGCATCTGAAGTTAAATTTATTGAAAAGAAATTAAAAAATAAATAAAATGTCTCTCTTCGAATCAAACAATTTATAAATTACTATTGTTCAATTTTAATAAATAATAAAGTTGAGTATATATCTTATATAGATTATGCGAGATGGGATATAAAAATAAATCCTAAAAGTAAAATTTGGGATAAGTTGAATATATAATTGAGTGAATGTAATTATTAACTAGGTAAGTATGATGACATTAACTTTTAGTTTTATAACTTATAATTTAATGGGATGGAATTTGGGTGTGAATACTCCCTCACACGCACATATTATATATATATATATATATATATATATATATTAGTCGTAACCCATAAAATATAAAATTTGAGCGTCTAAAAAATCGATTTTGTTATATTAAAATTTTTAAAAATATATTAATTAAATATTAATTAATTAAATATATGATATAAATGAGTAGTGTGATATTTTTATGGTAAAAATATATAAATGATTAAATATGCGATAAAAATAAGTGATATAATTTGATGTTTGAATCTGACAAAAGAATGATGAATGAGATAAGTGATTAATGATGATTTTAAGTGAAAAATATAAGACTTAATAAAATTGAAACGTACTCTTATTTTATATATATATATATATATGTGTGTGTGTGTGTGTGTGTATCTATCTGTATCGCTTGTGCATACTCATAAACCTGTATTTAGTTGTCGCAATCTCTCTTACTCTCACATGCTTCTCGTTCGCATCTGCGAGCTTAGCTATGATCTCGGAATCAACTCAGTAGCATTTGATTTTACATATTCATAGAAATCACAGACTCCGTTTCACGGAATCGAAGTCGATGAAGTTCTTCGGTTATTAGAGGAAAAGGTATGTGAGAGTCCATTTTCGTTCCATTTATGTGTAACATTTTCATGCCGTTTACGAGCTATGGGTTGACTCTTGATTTTCGAATTCTTGTGTTGACTCAGCATAAAGGAGCTGGTGTAGTTGCAGAGAAAAATGATTTTGCCGTTGCATTGACATGGGAATTTTACTTTTTTGAGGCCGGACTGAGTTGACTCAGATTCGAATCGCTTCAATCAAAGGTACTTCCGTTGCTTATTCCGAACCTGATTTATACTCTATTTCTATATGATATGTCATATTTGTGGTTACCGTTGTATGGGAATATGGATTTCCTGTGTAGTTTTGAGAAGTCATTTAGAGGCAGTTGATCGCGGTGTGTTTACTTTATCAACAGTCAATGTGTGGTTTTTGGGTTGTGTTTTTGTATTTGGATAAGTTTTAACACCTGATTTTGGCAATAACTGACAGCTATTGGGGCACTGACTTGGATTTCAGTGTTGGAATGACAGAATTTATAATAAGATTTTGATTCTGAGGTTATATTTTGGTGGAAGATTTGTTAGATTTTGATTCTGAGGTTACATTTTGGTGGAAGATTAGTTGGCATTTATTTCAGACTGCTGGTATTGGGATGGGTTGTGGGTGTTCTAAACTCACATCCTGTTGCTGTGTTGCGGAACAGAATGGACTTGCTCATGATGAGATCCATCGTGCTGGTACGTAAAAGTGCAGGTGGTTATTGTCTCCTTTGTCTTATTACGAAGGGGACTGTGATTTTACAATTAGTTTGATTTTATTTTTGGCAGAAAATGAGGAGAAGAGTGAAGTAAGTGGTTTGCCTCCATTTCGTGAATACACCGTTGAACAACTTAGAATAGCTACATCTGGATTTGCAGTAGAGAACATGGTCTCCGAACATGGGGAGAAGGCCCCTAATGTGGTTTATAAAGGGAAGTTGGATCAAAGGAGAATTGCTGTCAAACGTTTTAATAGATCTGCTTGGCCTGATGCCCGACAGTTCTTGGTAAGTATGTATTAACATGGCAGCAATCTAAACACTCAGTTCTGGTCATTAGGATATCAAATGCGTTTGAAATAAACTCTAGCTATTGTAACTGTTGGTATTTGCACCTAGCTGAATTCATTTATATAGCCAGGCATTTTGTTGAGTCAGATTGTTTGGTTTTGTTCAGTATAGTTGTGTTCTTTAGCGAGAACTCGATCAAATGCAACATGCAGCTAAGTGCCTGCTTACATTAACCAGTTCTAATTGCAACTAAAAGAGTTGATGAAGATTTATTTAAAGGTTTGGCATCCAAGATTTGGGAAACCTGTCGTTTTCAAATTTCCATAAAAGAAATCACCAGTATACATGCTTACACTTAATTTGATGCATTAATTGTTCTTCATCTCATTTGATAACTGTGAATTTTTGCAATCTATGAACTCAGGAAGAAGCAAGAGCTGTTGGTCAACTCCGGAACCACAGATTGGCAAATCTACTTGGTTGCTGTTGCGAAGGTGATGAGAGATTACTTATTGCAGAATTTATGCCCCATGAGACACTTGCAAAGCACCTATTCCATTGTAAGTCAGCTCTACAATAACTCTTTCTGCTATGTTTAGACGTGCTTTAGCAATTTTCAAACACGCAATATAGCTGGTATATTCAGGTTCTGTTATTTACCGTGAGAAAAAAAACCTTATAGTTTATATCAGTTAAATCGTGTATATTTTAGGTCTCCGGGCAAGTACTTTATAACGCATTTAATTCTTTTACAACTATCGAAAAACTCCAGTGCAACTGATGCAGCCAACAAAGAGATGCCTATAGGGAAAAATCTGCACAAGGTCAAGCAGGAAAAGATCCCCCACATCAAGTCTACTGGCCAATGGGCAACAAATCATCTTTTGATAATAATAATAAGATAGAAAAGCCTTTTCTTCCTTGTTTAGTCAAGTCTCGCTTTTTGATAGGAGTAGGTGCTTGCTAGGGCGGGGCACTCTTCATTCTTCATTCCAAACTAAACTCATGAATGTCGGATCAGGGGTTTCTGCCTTGTTATCAAAATGGGAGTTGGGTAAATTTTACATAATTGTTCAACATGCAATATATTTTTGTTTCTGCCATGGGTTAAATAATTGGATTACTCGGAAAAATTAACTCGGCATTTACATATTAATTTCAGTTACAGTGTTGCACCAGATCTATTGAGCCACATGGGTGTTGCCATAATTCTTTCAAAGTGTCTTTTTTTTTCCCCTTTTCTTAGAGATTCCAAGAAGGTAGTGAATATTTCGTCTTTTTTTCCCCTTACAACTATACATCAATGTTTGTAACTAGAAGAATTTGAAGCTATCTCTTCTTTAATTTCTGTCACTGCACACACTAATATGGATACATTTCTTTGTACATTGTATTTTCGTTTTTATGCGAGTTCATTTCGCTTAGTGATCATCCTATTTGATTTCATTTTGTTGATTCAGGGGAAACACAGCCTATGAAGTGGCCAGTGCGATTAAGGGTGGCTTTGTATCTTGCACAAGCTTTAGAATATTGTACAAGCAAAGGACGTGCCCTTTATCATGATCTTAATGCTTACAGAATAGTCTTTGATGATGTAAGTATGCCATCACAGCTTTTAATCATCATTCATACATTGTTTCTGATATAATCCAGAAATGAAATTGCATACTTCTGATTATAACTTTTTTATGTCACAGAACGGTGATCCGAGACTGTCATGCTTTGGTTTAATGAAGAACAGTAGAGATGGAAAAAGTTACAGCACAAACCTGGCATTTACCCCTCCTGAGTATCTGAGGACTGGTACTAAACCTCTCAAAACAAAAAATATGTTCATGAATAACAAGTTTATCCTCGGTTAAAGTGTATTGTCTATATGGATTTTTTCGGGGGTTGGCATGTTTTTTTCTCAGCTGTGAACGTGTCAGCATTTGAATTTGCTGATCCAGTTGTTTATGATGCGGTTTACTTGGTTTCAACTGTTATTATGGTGACATTATATCAACTGTTATTATGGTGACATTATTAATGTTTAACAGTTGAACCTGAGTTGATTCTCAGTCTCTACCTATCTGATATTGGTTTTTGTCTACTCTTAAAGGTGGTTGTTTTCTTAGTTTTCGTGGAATATATGATGACTAGAGAATAATAGTCAGCTGTCAGAATTATTGGCATTCATTTCTTCATTGAATTTGCTCCTTCTGCATCCATGAGTCAGTTCCCTGGATCCAAGGTGCTGAAGTGGTGTTGCACTAGGATAATAAAATGGCTAGGTTTATTTGTAGTTCTGGCGTTAAGATGTATTAATTATATCACATATTTGGCATCTTTCATATTCCATGTGGCCATAACAGAATAAAGCAAAGGAATTTATATGATGTAAGGGAAATCTAAATTTCAAGAAATATTGTGCTGACAGTTAATTGAATATATAATGTACATCATGCAAGAGGAGAAAAGGATTTATGTTCACCTTACACTCTCCTTCTGTTGGGGATCGTGGATGTCATATAGGAGAGTTTAAAATGTTCTGGATTCGCATGCCAATGAAGGCAGCTATAATAAAATGAGGGTATTGGTGGTAGCACTTGGCAGTTTTGAAAGTGACTTAGGCTCAGAAAAAAATATTCCGAAGGATGCTGGGACTTTAGAAATGAAAGACATGTCTGGACAATTGGGCTTCATTTCTCTTTGCAGGTTCTTTTATTTGTAATCTGTGGAACTAGGGTTGAATAACTAGAAGTCCTCAGTCACCCAATTACTAAGTGAGTTCCAGTCAGGGAAGAAGGTGCACTTCCCTTTGCTGTTCATGAGCATGTTTTGGATTTGTATTAACATAAGGAGATACACCTAGGAACCATACATAGATAGATGTGACTGTTAATTCACAAGAAGTTCAAAATTTTAGCAGTCTATAGCTGACTCGCATCCTCCTCAACTTGATTTACGGATTTAGTATAGTTGTGATAGGATGAACTGCTGTTGGTTGTCCATTGACTTCTCGTGGTTTTATTACTTCATCTGATTCTTGCTGATGTATCATGTAAGTGCAATATTGTTTTGGTCACGTTATTATTGTTCATCTGTTGCTCATTTTGATGTCCGAGATGATGTAAGTTTTTTGCCTTCCTTGTAGGAAGAGTAACACCAGAAAGTGTGATGTATAGTTTCGGCACCCTTTTGCTTGACCTTCTCAGTGGAAAACACATTCCTCCGAGCCGTGTAAGTCTTGGTTCTGCTAAACCAAAAAAAAAAAAAAAAGGTCTTGGTTTGGTTACAGTTTTTTGTTCCACGAATTCTTGTGGCAATGGTTATGTGTATAGATTGTCAACTTTGGATTTCAATTTTGAGTTTTATTCTTAAAATATAAACCAATAAGAAATTTATTTTTGGTTTATGGTTTTCTCATTTGCTTATATCTTGTGTTTTGCTGCAATTAGGCATCATACATTTCGTAATACAGATTAGGATTTACTGGACTAATATCAGGTCAATTTTTTTGTTTTTTGCTTTTATATAGGGTAATTATTATTATTTTTTAAAAAATTTGTGCTTCCCCCTCCTCCGAACCTCTTCCCATCGTTTCTTTTCCTGTTGTGTTTTGGAGGGAGGGGGTGGGTAGGGAGGCAGGGAAAAGTAAACAGGGTGAAGAAAGAATTGTTACAGCTTGTAGTAATTAACGTCATATCAATTGTTTTATACTTTTCAATATCTAAAGAATGTGACATAGCATGGAACTTCAACCAGATGAATCCATGTCAAGGCGATTTGATTCAGGGATGAACCCAGGAATCTCCCTCTTCCGTTTTTTGGAGGTGGAGAAGGAGGGGCAAAGTACATATCGAGAAGATATGGCTGAAAAATGTAAAAGCATTGTAGATTGGGAACTCCAGAAAAACTCGCATATCTAACTTTGCGATACATGAAAATCTGACTGCTTTAGTTAGAATAAACCGTCTATAGATATTTGCGTCAGTTTGATTGGGTTTCCTATTTTTTATTGATGTTAATATTGGAAATCAAAGAATGTTGTTGGCCAGCCTTTTAATCTGAGGCATTTATGTCTAAACTATATCCATATCCATACTACTAGTAAAAGTCACCTAGCTTGAAAAACTTTTAATTGCCAATATATTCTTATGAAAATGATTAATGACACTAGAATCATTTAATGACTCAAGAAGACTTAAATATCCCTTCATACTTACAAATATTACTCAACACCATTATTTTTATTAAATAACTCAAAAGGCATAAATAGGCCTTCCTTCTCTCTCCCTCTCTCTCCATATATTATATGTATATATATATGTTAATAAGATATAATGAAAATAATATAAAAGCTCTCAAGTGTCAAGATGTTTGGAATTTTTTTGAATCAGTCTGTTACCCTTAAAGTAAACATACATTAAAGCAACACTGTTGTGTTATATTTTTGGATAATTTATTTTTTTGTTATTTTTCTTATTACTAGGTTTATAGTAAATAACCATTTTCAGCATATAACATGAATTGATCTTAAAAATATAAACTTTGAACATATGAGATGTCATTTAACTTAATTATACATATTCTTTATAGTCGTTTTTTGTAGATTTCATGAAAATTTTCATTACCTAAATTTGTTCACATGCAACGCGAATGGTGCATTGCTAATGTATACAAAATTAGAGACTATGTTGGAATTCTGGAGTGGTCATGGGCTGGTTGGCTTTGCCTCTGGCTTAAATGCTCATGTTTTGAGGTTTTTTGCCTCTCCTTAATTTGATGACACCAATCAAATATGCTATATGTCTTCACATTGACTTCTATATATGGTCATCTAAGGTAGGCCGTATTATTTTGAGCATTCTTTAATTTATATTTTTCTAAGTTGGGTACTGTAGGTACTTCATCTTGTGTAACCATCTACCTAATGATTAGTTTTGCATATTTGTATCAGGCCCTTGATTTGATTAGTGGAAGGAATCTTCAAATGCTAACGGATTCATGCTTGGAAGGGCAATTTTCTAACGATGATGGAATTGAGTTAGTACAGTTAGCTTCAAGATGTTTACAATATGAGCCTCGTGAGCGGCCAAATCCAAAAACATTAGTTGCTGCTTTGATTCCTCTTCAGAAAGAAACTGAGGTTTGTTTTTCAATAGAGTGGTAAAAGTAAAATATGGAATTATTTGAGAGCTGTGTGTGTCTGATTTGATTTTCGCCTTCCTGGCTGCTGTGTTTTTTTCCTTTCTGCAGACCATGTTCAGATGTGTTCAAGTATTTTACTAAGTTTTTTTCTTGGGCATTTCCATCGTTGTTTTTTTGCTTGTTTCCTCAGTTCCTAAATGGCCATGACCTACATGCACATTCATGCCATATACATGATTGATCCTCTTGAGTTAATATTGAATTAATTGTTTATTTGGCTATTAGAAATTTTTTTAAGAAACCAACTTGGTTTTTAGATGAATGATTTATAGTTATATTGCTTAATAATTTAAGGTCTTGGAAAGTCCTGTTATCTCAATACTTCTTGAGTAGCAGTACATTTAGAAATTTAATAGCATAAGCATAGAAAATTAATAATGTGTTTACCCTTGCCAATATATCATTGATGAAATCCACCCATATTATTAATTTACACGTAACATGGATGTTTAAAACAGTAATCAATCAAAAAGATACCTGGAATTTTCAAGGGGTCTTGGTAGAAATAGTTATTGCTTTATGTGAAATTTAGTTTAAACCATTACAAGAAAGATCGTATAATGGACTTGGTTTTGCACCGGATCTTTTACGCTTGTGAAGAAGTGTTTTAGTGATTAATGTTTAGAAGAACTAAACTCTTTAGCGATCATGGAATTGGTTTTGTGTTCCTCTGTTCTGTTCTCCCCAATGTTGATTATTAAGATGGGATGGCGAAAAGCTGATAAATAAACGACCATAGTTGCTGGTTGCCACCGGAACATGTATGATCATGCATTGTATTGAAACCAAACTGCCAAATGCTGCACTAATCACACTTGATATGAAAGCGCAATCTTGATTTGCTTTTGGGGCCATGTAAGTCAATCTTATGCTTTTGGAGAAATACCAAACCAAGAGATACTAGATTGAAGTGACAGATAGGAAAGTCTGAAAACTCTTCCGATGTGGTAGTCCAAGCAAATCATTATTTGTATGTGTGTACAAAACATATCTTCCAGGTGCTTTGATATACATTCAAAGAATAATAGTACAAGTTGCTGGAGAAGAATGTTCGCCATGTAACTTGACTTGTGCCACAATACATATATGTAAACCACAAGATAAATGATGGAATTTGTCTCTTTGTGAGTATGCCAAACACTACTTTAGAATCAAAATTTGATTCCAATGAAAGATTTATGAACTAATTTTGGCCCATTCGGTTGCTGCTTTAGGAGGATAAGACTTAACATACTTGGGTTATCCTTCAGGGTGAGCAACAATTTCACAGATAACCATAAGTTGTTAGCAAATAATTGCAGCATGTAACTTCCACTTTCGGGATGAAAACCAAATATATGTTGATGAAATCAAAGGAGGAATACAAAGTTCAAACAATGAGAAATCAGAAATCTTTGCGGGAGAAGTCGGAAACTGAAGAAAATGAAAGAAGTAGAAGGTGAACACAGAATATCGAACCCAGGATCTTGGCTATGCACAAAGGCTACCAAATTTGCACCACCAGGGTGGGACAGCCAACGGCGAAGGGGGCTCACTGCTCCCCTGGTTTTCCAACTTTCTCTCTATCCGTCTTCTTGTGTACAGATTTTTCCTACATTCTAATGGATTCCCCCTTCTGCCAAAAAAGGAATATTCCTGGTAGACCCAACTACCTTTAACAATGCTATTTTGACCCATGAGAAGCTGGACGATGTAGTTGCAGAGGTGAGGCCATGATGAAATGACTAGAAAGTGTTATTTTATTGGTCTTTTCAATTGACTAAAGGATATGATGGTGCAGTTTAGCAAAATTCTTTTTTGATATATTTAAGTTGGTCCCCTGGGAAAAAATTTTCTGGATTGACTTCAGCCTTCGAGGAGGGCATCAGGTCCAAATGTCTCTGAGATGAAGACATCACCATAATCCAGTAGATTGAGCATTGGACCATCCAACAATTGCCCTCAAATTCCCCTTCATCAAGCTGCGAAGAATGTTGAGAAGAAGCTTCCAAAAGGACTCCCACAATGGCTTGAATCTCATACTGCCCCTGACCTTCTGTAGGGGTAAAAGCAAAATAGTCTTTAAAGCCATCCCACCCACACATATGCCTTGAATCTTTAAGTCGTTTAGCTACTCTTTGGGAGGTGGATTTCATATTAATTATGGTGCTTTGACTGCATTTGCTCCTGTCATGGTAATTCAAACAAAGCTTTCATCCTTTAGTTGGACGAAGTTAAAATCAGCCAAACGAAATGCACCAGATTTGCCAAGAATATTTCTGTCCAAAGCCAACTAACATCTGACCACTGCCTAATCAAAGCAACCACATGGTAATAAAATGTCACTTCTTGAGCACTGATATCTGCTAGATTTCCTGCAGCAACACAAATCGGGACCTCGAAAATTCTGTGCCGTGGTGGGTGATGCACTCCATAGTCCACACACCTATTTGGGGAATATTGGAGACCAGTTAAAGCCTTGTGCTTGATTAAGTTGGTAAGCAGAAACAATGGACGACAAGAAAGATTCCTTCTCCTTTCCTGGTATTGGATTGGTAGGATTAATAGATTTGATAGAAATAAAAAGAGAAACATTAAGTGATTTGGAACTCTTATCAACTTAGGTTCAATTATTTCTTCACCAGGAGCCCATGCAGATTGGATATCGAGGTATGAATTAAATCTCAGTTAAGACAGAAATTCAGAGAGGGTTGTTGGAACAACCTATTTACAATACCAGCAGGAAGGTCTTCTCACCTGCCCTTCTGAATGGAGATTTATAAGATATTTGGTTGCAAGTGAAGACATTTTTTCTTCTCCAAAGTAGTTGTTTGAGTCCAACTATATCTAGCATCATCCTGAGATATAGTCATATTGGCCCCATAACTTGACTTTAAAATCATGAAAAATTTTCATGGCTTTTCAAAAGGAAAGTATTATAAAGGTGGTATGAGCAATTTTGCAGGAAAAAAGCGGGTGATTAAATCTGATGTTAGACAGGAGCAACTTTGACCATCTGTTGCACATCTTTTACACGAGTGTCTGTTGTTTTGACAATTATTCGTTCTACTTACATTAACGGCTATATATTCGTTGGTTTTCTGTTGTGCGTGTATAATTTGACATTCATAGAGTTCCTGGGGGTAAAATCAGTTTGGCCTTCATACCTGTTGCTCCACAAATGTAGTAGCTCACTGTCCTTCCAACATGAATAGTTGGCTATCCTCAGTGTTGAAAGCTCAAAATTGCCAATAGCTGGAATGACCAAGGGAAGTTTGACTAATTTATTTTGCAGGTTCCTTCTCATGTATTGATGGGTATACAACAAGGTGCTGCTGCCTTGCCTTTATCCCCACTTGGAGAAGCTTGCCTAAGAATGGATTTGACCGCCATACACGAGATCCTAGAAAAGCTTGGGTATAAAGATGACGAGGGAGCAGCAACTGAGGTTTGTTTTCTAATTCATCAGTTCTAGAAATTTACTGACCGGTTTTAATATGCATACGACTGATGTATTCCATCTGCTTCCATTATCAAACTACCTTGGTGGAATATGGATTAGCATTCACGTTCAAAACTACCTTTGAACCCTCCAAACCAACCCTTCAGTTTTCTGTTCATTGTTCGATTTGAGAGATACAAATTTATTTGCCCATTTGCCTGCCTGATTATTATGGATATATTCATCTCTTTTACATTTGCTTCTGTTGGCCCTATGCATAGATAGGAACTCAATTCCCAGTTTGTATGCATATATTCGTATCTGAATGCTTCACGACCTTTACCCATACTGATTTCTCATCACAAGCTATGTATTGTATATGGTCTGCTGACAACTTTTTTTCCTTCTTTGCAGCTTTCCTTCCAGATGTGGACGAATCAGATGCAGGAAACATTGAACACTAAGAAGAAGGGTGACATTGCTTTCCAGCATAAAGATTTTAGGGCTGCAATTGAATGCTACACACAGGTTGAAATGCTATCCATCCCATATCCAAGTTTATTAATTTAAGTTGGGATAAACCTTTGAGTGATTTCTCTGTTGCCCATCGGTTAAGTTGCATAATCAGACTAGTGGCGATACTGAAGTGATGAGCTGACTGACATGTAAAATTATGTTCGATTATTGATTATACACTTGTGCACTGCCCATTAATAGCATAATTTTTTATATTTTCATCTTACTATAATGGTAAACGTTTTGTTTTGTTTTTTGGTTGGTTGTTTTTGGTGGTGGGTGGGAATAGAGGGGAGGTTTGGGGTTGGGATACTGGTGATTGTTAGTTTAAGTGCGAAAGAGGAGTGGTTAGAGAAAATATAATCCTGAAAACAGTAGAGAGAACCATTACATTGGATTGTGATCTGATCTCTTTTTGAATTGTGTGAAGTTATGCACTGATCTATCATGGGGATCAACACAGTTGTTGCACCCTTCCTAAATTTTTTCTCTTTCCTTGATGACAATAGCTGTGCACTTCAAGATTGTATATGATCTGATAGTTTGTTTGCTCTTCCGTATCAACGAATGTCTTTGTTTTGAGCTGATAGCTTATTACTATTATTTGCAGTTCATTGAGGTTGGAACCACGGTTTCCCCAACAGTTTTTGCTCGACGTAGTCTGTCATATCTCATGAGTGATGTGCCCCAGGAAGCCCTTGATGATTCAGTGCAGGCACAAGTTATATCCCCCGTTTGGCATATTGCATCGTATTTGCAAGCTGCAGCGCTTTTCGCTTTAGGAAGGGAGAATGAGGCCCAAATTGCACTCAAAGAGGGTTCTGTCCTTGAAGAAAAGAGGAATATGATTTCCTGACAATACGAGAGAGAAAATCCAATGCGATCTCTTCTCCTCCTCCTCAAATTGCCGCAATCTGGGAATAACCCACATCAAACACGAGTTTTCTTGTTTTTCCGGGAGAAAGGTCAAACGATTTTCAACCTCCAAAGAAACATAGATTGATGGAAACAAAAGGCTACAAGTCCTCCGCATGCATGACTATTTGGTTTGGTTTTGTTGAAGCATTCTTTTGCAACATTATTGGAGTGGATTAGTTCTGGCCAGCTTTGTGGAAGGTCGGAGATGCTTCCCTGGTATTTATTGTTGGCATTTTACTGCCCTTTCCGGACAATTCAATCTTTCCAAATAATTTAGACAAACAAGAGATTATATGTTCATAGAGGGACTGTCAAGGAAACGGAAAAGGGTAGTAGAGAATTTTGCCATGCTGTAATTTATGTACAGAGCTACATGACTTCCTCAGCCTCATTGAAATTGGCCTTTTTTTGGTTTTTGTGATCCTATTGCTGGTTGTTTCTTGTTTATTGGTCTATATTTTGGGCATAATTTGTATTTATCACATGATTGTGTACTCAGATCTTTAATCTGTCAAATGATACATCATTTTGAGTGGCTCATGGTACACATCTAAGTCCGATATTTGCAGAATAAGATAACCCGACCTTTTTTGGATAGAATTTTACTCGGAACATTACCTTCCATTAAGTAGGTCAACTAAAGAAAAAATCTTCCACAATTCATCAGCTCAGAACATGAAATTCAAAAATTTTTACCCGTCGGCTTGGATGAATCTGAGCGATCAGAATCATCTCAACCATACATCACACATCAAATGAATTTATGGCTACCATGTAGACTTGGAATACGCACAATCATCTATAAACATGCATATCGGGTCATGCACCTGAGTTGAGACTTATTGAGCTGTATTCTTTTTTCCTTCGTCACCCACTTGTCACAACAAAAAGGGAAATGCCCCTGACCAATACGAAGTTCACAGCCTGAATGGATACGTGAGTCGAGTCAACCAAGGTGGCCTCCCAAACAGCAGATTTTCTGAAAAAACTTCCACTATTTCTCCAGAAAACCAGTGCATTCCAAGAAGAACCCAAAGATCTCAAAGATGAGCAGTATGGTAAAAGAGCATAAAAATGCTATAATAAACCAAGTATTCAATCCCAGCAACACCATATACCACACAGTTTGATCGTTAAACAGGATAGTTGAATCTTGGAATCGAGAATACATAGGATTGGGTACAACTTGTATTGCATGTACAGGCCACATCCTAAGGCTTAGGAGAAGCTACTAGAAGATTAAGTAAACCACAGAAGTCTTCAACTTACCTTTCATGTTGCGGCAATAGTTTCACTCACTATAGGGCAACTAGTGATGGTCAAACAAAGATTGACAACATTATTTAGGACGTGACTTACTGATGAAAAGGTTTGTGCCAAGGATACACGTCACAATTTATTCTTGTTAAAACCTGACATTGGCAGCTAATTTAGAACAAAACAACAGAACCTCAGTAGAGCAGCTCCTCAAAAACAGGATCCACACTTTGTCCCCACTTTCCATGGTATAACTCAAGAAGCTTCTCAGCTGGTGTCACACCTGCCACAAGGAGACAAATTGTGATGAAATAACTACCATTGGAGGTTGTCAAGCAACAAATTTACGCCTCTAAAGAGAAGAATGTACGATAAGCCCCTTTCATTTTAGAGATCATTATCTCAAACATATTGTTCAGGAGTCCAAACATGTAATTCTAAACTTCCATGCAAAACTTCAAATTCTTCACTCTCTTTCTAGGGGAACTATCTTGCACACAATGACTCAAAACTTTTATTAACTATAGTAATAATGGGATTTTCAAACACAAGTGCGGAGTATAAAAGAGCATGCAGAACAAATGCTTTAAAACATCAGGACTCTGAATGACGTACCAGTTTGAACCACCTCAGTCACTGCATTCAAGAATCCTGCTTCCTTAAAGCCTCTCCTTTCCAAGCCATCCTGCATCAAGTAAATAGATACAAAAACAACAAAGAAGGAACAGACGAATTGTTATGATCGTAGACGCATGAACAAAAGCAGCAACAATGACAATTTCCAAGTCACCTTTGCCAACTTTAGAACATCTTCAGCAACATGCCTCAGCAAGCCATCTCGAAATGGTGTCTTCAGACCACTCTTTGGTACCTACTTAGATGGTTTTGGAATTAAATTGCCATCTTAAGTGCTAAAAAAAATGCTATTTATCTCAACATTCCAAGATACAACTTGAATGGGTGAAGCCATATTTGCAAATAAAAACTAGATTATCATCACTCTATAGTATAGTCATTGAAGAAAACAAACTAGAATATTTTCTTCCGAAGTGGAAGAAGTTTGTTTTTCCCAAATATTTGAAAGAAAAAGACTTATATAGTGACCAGGCCATTCATCAAATTGCATCAGTTGGACTGAGGAACAAGAACACTTTTGATGAAGTAATTCTTTTGATGCCTAAGTCCCAACATGTTGGGCTTCATTTCTAACGGCCATCTCTTTATTGAATGCCAGAAAGTACGGACAAAGCATCTAAAAATAAAGGTGCTGCAAAATCAGCTTGCATTATCTCCACAAATAGGTAGTAGTACTATAAAAGCAGGCAAGATATCAAACAATGCACAATGTAACAAAAAGATGATGGGTAGATTACCTTATTCCTCAACATCTGTCTTTCTTCGGCGGTCCAATCAGCTGTCATGTCCAGAACAGTTTGTAAACAAACCTCGTCATATAATAGACCCACCTGAAATTTAGAAATAACATTAGAGTGAACTGATTCACAGGAATCAAGCATTAATAACAGAAATTAACACCAAAAAAGGTGGCTGTATCAGCATAATATCAAGCAAAAATGAAGAAATATGCAAAAGGTTAAAAAAAAGTCCCAATGACTAATATGTTCCTTATTTCTTCCTCTCTTTATAGACGTGAAAAGAAATTGTTAAAAACATTTACAAGAGAAAGTAAATGTAAAACAAAAGAAAGTCCTCATATAAACCAGATTGCTTAATTAGCATGTGACCAACAAAATGTGGTTCCCTCCTGCAATAATTTTTGGGAAGAGTTCCACCCGGCTACATATGATTGTGGATGGATTTACTCTACACATCTATTGTTTTCAGTTTTTGAAGAATTTGCAAAACAATGATTGCTATATTTTCCCAATAAGAGGGTGATGCAGTGTGCTGTAAATTTAAAAAACCACACACCCAAAATGCAGGCAATGCACATAATCTCCTCCAAGGTCCTCCATCAGCACCCCTCATCTCTAAATACCTTTTAAGCCTGATCTGGAAAGAGAGTATCATTGGTTCAAGAGCAACATTATCATCAGTAATACATAAAATTATATACTTAAAAAAGTAATATCATTGGAATTATAAGGCTTGTCCACAAACTAATCTCAAATGCATAAGAGAAACCTCGGGAAATATTGTTGTCAGATGATTCTCCCAATCATTCAAAGTTGGATATTCACCCGGAATACAAGGAAGTTTTCCAGCCATAAAATCCTGAAGAAGTGTCATATAAGAAGGCTTATCTCTAATACAAACTAAATGAAAACGAAAATGCAATGTCAAATAAAGACTCAAATCACTAAAAAAAATTACAAAGGATAGATGGAAACCCGGAAGGACATTCCAGCACAATCAATATACTTCTTTTTGCGGTAGGTGAAATACATTGGGACATCAAGAGCATAATCTACATACTGCTCAAACCTGTCGCCAGCATCATTGTAAGCATAATTTAAGAGCATCAATAAATAGATCACAATCATTTGTGAATGCAAAATGTGATGGAAAATAAAAAAACCATTTACATGCTAGCAAATAGTGTTGTGTGCCTAGAATTGTAACAAGATAGGTAGAGGCAGGGCACCCCTCTCCCGACTCCAACCCCAGTCCAAATACAAATGTCTAAATACTGAATCCCACAGGGATCTCATCACAGGGTGGTGGGACAGGTATCCCGTCGCTTTGTATATTCATAGCAGGCTTAACAATGACGACACATGCCTCCACATAAAAGGTGCCTATTCAAGAATGACATAATCACATACCTTCTACATATCTACCGCAAAAAAAAAGTTAATAACCCTGTGAAAGCCAAATGCCCCATGGCATGCCTTCTGGTCTCAAACCTGACACATTCTACAGAAGGTTGAGGCTGGCTGACGCAGGCTTTTCTAAGGGCATTGCTTTCACACCTCTGTTAAATAATAAATTGGCACAAGCAGTCTCAGACATCTGAACTCAAAAATTTATAAGCCCAGGAGTTTCATATCATGTGATAATTCCTCAATGAAGCAGATTAGAATCAAAGTTCCACGTTGAGAAGTTGTTGACATATCATAATGACTCTGGGCTTGTTTTGCATATTTTGTTGATTTCATTGTTTGTGATTAGTTCTTGCGTGCAGTAATCCTATAGTGGTCGTATGTAGCCCTCTTGCCTGGTAGAAAAAATCTTATAGTAAGATGGAGAGGCCTTGTTCTGCCAAGGAACATGGTCAATGGAATAGTGGGTGGTTTAGAAAAGGATTCTCCTTTTCTTACATTCGGCAGGTAAGTTCAGTGCTACCAGATTAGAAAGATAGGATAGGATGCTAGGGTAGGATGGAAGGGCTTTTGGCATTGTTCTTATATAGTCTCCTTGGATTTGACAAAAATGTGGCAGCGTTTGGCAGAGTCCATACAATCCTAGACTATTGTAGACCATTAATACCCCTCTGTCTGAGCTTAACTCGCATATTTTGCCTAGACTAGTGGTATATAAGGCTCATCACCTGGTGCCTCTCAGTCTCAGTATATATTCTTCAGTAAGCTACACAGTTATTGGGCTCAACTCCACCTCAAACCGAGGCAGGTTACACTTTTCCCCCATCCTATCCCCCTCAAATTTCCATCCCTAGTCTAGCTGCATAAAATACATCAAAGCTTCCCACTAACACAATTCAATCTTTCAAGCATAGCCCAAATAGCTGGATTAAGGCTCAGTTGTAGCCTTGTAGTGAACTATAATCCAAGCATGGAACAAAGAGAAAATATCCCACATATGATTTATCCGTTCAACAAGTATAATGTAAATCCATTATTAAATTCTCTACAACGAAAACCGAAGTTGCCCGATTGACATCACACAGAAAAAGGTTCTCTGAATCAAATTCAAAAAGCAAACGTTGTTCATTTACTCTTCTACTTATGTTATTCTGGGTTTAGCCAATCATTTCTCTAGTTTAATTCTGAAAAGGATGCAAACTTACCCAAAGGACTCATCAAAAACAAAGGGCAGCATTCCGGTGCGGTTCTTATCAGTATCAGTCCAAATTTGGCTGTGAGACAGAAAATATATTACTCCCAACCCCAGCAACATCAACAAGAAGATTATGAAAATCAACAAATACAAGGTAACAAGTAAAAACCTTCTCATGCTAAGATAACCATTTGGCTTTCCTTCAGTGAAAGGTGAATTGGCAAACAGAGCCGTTGCAATCTGTTTCATCCAATACGCTAGTTAGATTTTACATAACCACAAAACTTTTCACTAAGGGGAGAATGAACAAGATATCTCACAGGTTGTAAAGCAAGAGCAGCACGAGATTTCCTTATCATGTCAGCTTCAGAACTAAAGTCTAAATTAACCTGTCAAAAATGGATATCCATCCCCTTTCAGTCAGGGCACACGGCAGATCTATATTCACACACATATGCACGTACAAAGATACATCAAAAGAAAAAAACAACAAAGTATGTTTTCTAATGATAGCCTTGAAGCATCTGATATGAAGTGAACAGATACCCCAAAAAATCACATTTCTCATACCTGAACAGTACACGTCCTGAACATCATATCAAGTCCAAGGGATCCAACTTTGGGCATGTAATTCCTCATAATCTCATATCTTCCCTGAGCCACATTACTCTGTGAGTATACAGCAGCTCATCGAATTTTCCATAAGTGAACAATATATCATAGGATAAGATAAAATGACCCTCTTAAAAGGCAAACTACTAAAGAATATTTGTGTGGGGGAAATAGAAGTGGTATTTGCAGCTTAAGTCCAAGAAGTATAATGAGAATATAGGATGAAAAACAGCCTTTGAATCTGTCTGATCTCAGATTATGCAGATGTAAGTCCAATAGCAGCATAGCATATAATTGTCCATTCTCCAGGGCGTAACAAATTGTGAGTAGCCCACTACCAAAAAAATGAAACCCTTTAACAACTCATAACTCATAAGGATTACCTTGGGCATTATGGGTATGTCTTGCACTCCCCATTTGGGCTGGAAACCAATGCCTAAGAATCCAATTCCCATCTCCTCTGCAACAGCTTTAACCTATGGAGTAAAACCATGCAAAGATGATAATCAACTTCAATGAATTTTTAATTGATTGTCGTTGTGTGTGCATGTGCCTGTCCATCTCAAAAGAATCGTAGCCAGCACACAAGTTTGAGATTTTGCTCCTCTCAATAAAATATAATTTGAAGATGATATACAACCACTTCCTCATAAAAATACTTGATGACTTGCTACCACAACCTCCTTTCACATATTAATGAGAACTAGATTTCTAAGTTTTGGATAAACCTGATAAAGATGTGAATTGACCTCGGCACAAGTCTGATGCAGAGTTTCAAGAGGGGCACCACTAAGCTCAAATTGGCCACCAGGTTCCAATGAGATGCTTTGCTTTCCCTGTCCAACAACCATGTAAGTTTTCTCTACAGAGATACACCAAAAGCAAAATACAGAAGTTTCTCAAGAATCGCTGCATTAAAATCCATTTGAAATGAATGGGGTAAAAAAATGAAACTGCCTTTCATATTGAACTGACTAGCATCACTGACCATACTAATCAATATGTGAGCAAGCAAAGAAGGGTTCAAAAAATCTACGATAAAATTAGACCAGCAGTTTTCCATCTAAAGATACAAAAGAAATAATAGTAAACCTGTTTAAGTCCGATAATGTTGTCACCTTCCATTATTTTCTCCCAATCAAATCTCTCAGAAATACCATTGAGCAGATCTGCTATTTGTTCATACTTCATGGGACGTAGAGTTTCAAACTCAAAACCAAACTTTTCATGTTCGGTACCTATTCTGCAAAACCAAATGATTAAGCCAATGATTCACAAGAGAGTAAGAAAGGTCCACTAGTCTACACACACACACACACACAACACACACAAAGGATTTAAGAAAACTATATGGATAAGACTAATAATTCAAATTTATTTTCAGATTTTCAAAAGAACAAAAGAGATGAAATATCCAATGGATTTTCAACAGCAGATGTTGAATATTAGATTTGAACCTTTTCGACCTCACCCCTTGTAGTAAGAACCAGTAAGAGGATAGATGCAGCCGGCTATTTGATTTGATAATAGAAACAATAGTGCATAGGAAAGAATGAATGATTTTTACTTTCAAAACTAGTAGGGGGATGATGTAGCAAAGTTAATCAAGGCAGTGGATTGTGAATCCTCCCAGCACTTTTCCATCATGGCATGCATTTCATGTCATGGCTCATTGACTTGCATTGATTGCGCATGAGTGTGCGCGTGCACACACACATATGCAGATGCATATATACATGTGCAACAATAGGAATCTATAATTGATTCCAACAAAATTGCAAGTTTGGCCAACCAATAGACTTCCAATTTTGTTGAACTGCAAATTTGAATTCCGATCCAAGCATGATAGCATTCAAAAAAGGCCATCTGTAGAAAAGTGTACAGCAAATTCAAAATTGCTGGCTGTTCAGTGAGGAAAGCCATGTAGCAGTCCCATTGAACGAACATTAAGGAGATGCTTGAAATGAAAAATTAAATAAAAAAGCAATCTCCATAACTAAGTAATCATTTTAGCAATGCAATTTATAAAGGAAAAAAATACATGAAACAAATAAATAAGAAAATCCCTTAATTGGTTTCTGCTCGACAAGGTACTGAGAAAATCTGATGAAGCAACTTATAATAGTGATTCCTTTGAAGAAAACAAATAATCAAGCAAATTTCATTGCAAAAGATGGAGCTTAAACCAGAATGCCAATGAGAGCTAGAAGTTGGACCTCCATTTTTCCTTAGGCTTGCATCCAGAAGTAAGGTATCCAACAAGATCCTCTTTTGTCAGTGGCTCTGCTGCAATCACAGCCTCCTCAGTAGGAGGACTGGCAGCAACAATCACTCCATGTCCTCGTCGGCCTCCTAGTCTAACACCATCTATATGCAAGCTCTGAACTGTCTTTGAGGAATTCCATGGTAATGCTGGCAAACCAATGGAGTTTTCCTTCATTTTGGATGTGTCCATGAAGTTTCTGACGCTATAAACCACCATATTTCCAGCTTTACATTGTCTCTCGGAATGAATGCAATATGATGGACTTGCCTGGGATATGAGCGCCATGCTTTATCCCTGAAAATTTGTGCAAGCAAACTCTAAGTGACAACTTATTAAACCAAGAGTGATAGCCAACATCAACCAGTGCCAAACAAATTAATTTACGGGGTAAAATTAATTCGGAAGATGACACAAGTCATAACAGTTTTTATCAGTACAAAGCACAACAATCTTGCAATACTGTAATGCAGGACAGCAAAAACTGAACAGTCCAATGTCAGTAGCTCCTTATGTATTTCTCTTGAGCTCAAGCCGTTGATTTCAAGAAACATTTATATGAACTCCTCCATCAATTCATGTCATCCCAACAACCAGATTATGTTTATCAGACCCATACCAAGGAATCATTCTATTCATCGTTGCATTCAAATTTCCCTCACAACCTTGAGGACAATCATACTGGAATAAGCTAAATACTTTGTTCATTTCAAATTGAATTCATTTCGTGAAGAAAGACCGAGTTCATAAGCTTTCTATCATAGAGAGGAACTACTAGAGTTAGTACTACCCCTCCCTTCATACGAAAATCAAATCCCCAACTATGAGACCAATAATATTTCATAGATTATCCAGACAGAATACGCGATTAAACAACAGCGTTAATATAACCTATAAAAGAACAAAAACTGAAAATAAAATAATCAATCAGATCAATATCAACGTACAATTAACAAGAACTCCCATTGAACAGAACTTACACTTGTGGCATATGAACAGAGATTAATTACCTGGCTTGTATTGTAAGAATTAATTAGGGTTTGGTTTCGTATCCGTTGCTCTTTATCGTTCACACTATTGCTCAGAACGAGAGTTTAGAGTTTTGGAGAGGAGAACAGAGGGGAGAGAGAGAGAGAGGGGCAATGGTACTTCGGCTGTGAAGTGATACTTCGGCTGTAGAGTGGTGAGGTTGGCGTAAATATAGTGCGGCACTACCCAAACTTTTGTAGTGCGGTCCCCACCCCCAGCCATGTTTGATTATGTCCGCTTTGCTTCTGATGTATATTTTACGGTTAATTGCATTGGAACGTCAAAATATGGGGTTTGTCTATAATATTTTAAATACATTATTTTGATATTTAAAGTGTTCAATTGATTCTTACGTGGTCTTTCAAGTAGACAACGTTAAAATTATTAATTATTTTTAATTATAAATTTATCACAGGATACTTATACATGAATAAAAAAAATATTTTTATATTTTTTGACCAAGATTTTAATAACTCTTAACAAAAAATGTNATTTTTAATTATAAATTTATCACAGGATACTTATACATGAATAAAAAAAATATTTTTATATTTTTTGACCAAGATTTTAATAACTCTTAACAAAAAATGTATAATTTTTGTAGCTCTTAATCAAAATTTCGGTAGCTGATGACCAAAAATATGTAATTTGGGTAGATTTTTGACCAAAATTTGGATAAAAATTAGGTCAAGAGTTACCCAAATTATTTGATCACTAGTCATACATCACCCTTCATATATAAAATTTAAATATTGTTTGATAAAATTTAATAACAATTGAATAAATTTGGACTTAATTTGATAAATTTAAATATTAATTTAGTGTTAATTGATATTTATATTTAGTGTTGATTTGATAAAATTTAATATTAATTGAATAAATTTAAATGCTGCCTAATGAAATTGAATGTTTATTTAGTGTTAAATTAAATAATTGACATTAATTTGATAAGGGTAAATGTTAAATTAATGAAATTTAATATTTTATTTAATATATTTAATTTTAATATAATAAAATTAAATATCAATTTAGTGTTGATTTGAAGAAATTAAATAATAATTTAATATTAAATTAAATAAATAATATTAATTTGATAAAATAAAATATTAAATTAATATAACTAAATGTTAATTGGATAAAATTAAATATCAATTTGTGTTGATTTGTTGAGATAGAATTTTAATTTAGTTTAAATTAAATAAATATGAACCTAAAGGTTAATATAATAAAAATAAAAGAGACTGCAGTGAAATTTCAGAATCGAAATGGGGTATTATTAAAGATAGGTCTATTTATATGGGTGTTGTTGAAATTATGTTTATTTACAAGGAGTATGAATAAAATTTATTTCATAAAATATTTAAGAATATTTTTATAAATTAATAATTGTTGTTAACGCTACAACCCGACAAACACTAACAGAGAATGACAATAAAATTTTAGAATTGAAAAAAAATATCATTCAATTTAAACTTAATTACAAGGGATATGGATAAAAATTTTCCTTATAATAAAGGTTCGCAGATGAGGTATTTGCTGACGCACACAATACCCCTCCATAGTTTAGGTCTACTAATAGTCAACTCAACTATATATATATATATATATATATATATTAAAGAAAGACCTATTTTACCTTATTAAAAAAAAGAGATTAATTTAGATGTTTCGACGTCATGTATAATTTACAATGTGTTTGGTACGAAAAAAAAAATGGATGGATGAAAAATGGTATTTCTCATAATTTAATATAAAAAGAAATAGATGAGGAAAAAAACAATGGTGGAAAAAGGGATCAGTCCCGCCAATCATTTGTTATCCGTCCAAATTTCGGGCGGAAAGTGAATGGAAAACTGAAGACTCATGATAGTAATAGATGAATTTATTTTTATGTCCCTCATAAATTACGCAGCCTCCATCTTTTCAAATGACCGGATATGGGCCCACATTATTTTATTTCTCAAGCAAAATCATAAAAAATGGTGGGACCCAACAAAAAATTATTTCATACCAAATAAAAATAATTAAAAAATTGTTTCTCCTCCTTTTTTATTTCTCAAACTAAACAAGAAGAAAGAAGGCTATGTAAGACAACGACAATCGGTATAAATTATTATATCACCATAAGATATGTATCTAAAATTTATAATTTAAATTTATATTTTAAATTAAGAAAGATCATTAGATTAGTGGGTTCTATTTAAAAAAGTTGACAAGACTCATTGATCTTTGTATTCTCTTTAATTTAGAATACAAATTTAAAATGCATAACACTACTTATAAGGTATTTTCATATTTGGGCATAAATTTTGTGAGAATAAATACATATGAAAAAACCTAATGTCTTTAATTGTTGGTACGCATCGCCTAAAAGGATAATTAGGATTTTTTTTAAAAAATAAATTGAGAAGATAAAATTTTAAAATTTTAAACTACTTAAGGGAGTAGGGTACCATCTAGCTAATATCACAGTTAAAAAATTGAACTTTCAATTTATAAAAAACACAATAATGATTAAGATTAATTTAATTTTTATTTATTTTGATCAAATGATATAAAATTTATCCAAAAATTTATTTTCATAAAAAAAATTAGTTTCTATACACGATCCCTAATGCCAGAAAACTTAATCAACACATCTTCTAATGTTAAACAATCTCATTAATCAACAATTATCTCTTTCTTCATTTTAATTTTTTATATTGTATAGTATTTTTAAATACAGAATGATTGCTAAGTTAACCCATAAAATATGACCCAAGGCTTGGTATCCATTCAAATTGACTAGTATAGAGTGTAAAGATGTGGGCTCTCTCTCTCTCTCTCTCTTAGTGGTGTCAGCATTTACAAATAAAAAAGAATCTCTCTCTCAGTGGTGTCAGCATTTACAAAGAAAAAAGAAAAAGAATGGTCCAAAATAATTGGTCCACTCTCATAAATTTATTCGCCATGGTCCTTGTTAAGCGAAACAAAAGCGATCGTGTTGATTCATGGAGAAAATTTTGATTCATCCTTACCTGAATATTGTTGGGAGATTAGGAACTCCAATGATCTAACAACCAATATTTATATCTAAAACTCGTATTCACTTAAAAATTCAAGTTTATAGGTGGTAAATTTATCAACAGTATATTAAGACTAGTTATTTCTCGTGTTTGAAAGTATAGAATAATAAAAAAAATAATTAATAATACAAATATTTGTATTCACTTTCAAAATCAAATTACAAAAATAGAGAAGAGATAAAAAAATTTAAACATTAATTACAGTGTGGACAAGTGGTAGTAATATGGTGGGCAACAATGGTGGTAGTAGGGGACAATGATTATTGCGGTAGGTGGCGATGACCGTGGTGGTAATGGTGGTAGGGCAACGACAGTAATTAGTGGTGGATTATGGTAATGGGTAGCGTTAGGTGATATCAGTGGATGGCAGCAGTGGTGGGATTACGATTGTGGCGAATGACAGTGGATAATAAATGGTAGTGGGTTATGATAGTGAGTGGCCATAGGTGGTGGCAGTGGGCAACAAGTGGTGGTGGGTTATGATAATGGGTGATGGTAGGTGGTGGCCGTGGGCGACCGTGGTAATGGAATAATGGTGGTAGTAGTAATAAATTTAAGAATGATATGATGATAGTAATGAGTGGTGGTGGGGTGGCAGGTAACAATAGTTGTGGCAACGGTGGCGGTAATAGTGATGTTGATAGGAGTTAGGCGAATGCTGTGATGGTAGAATGGTTGCAGAGGTGGTGGTGATAATAATGGTGAGACAGTGGCATTAAGATTAGGGCAACAGTGGTGATGGTGGTGGTGGTGGTAGGATGGCAGCAATGGTAGTGGTGGTGGTGGGGCGGTGGAGGAGGTGATAGTGGTAGTGGTAGGATGGTTTCAAACACTATTTTTTTTTTAAGTACTTATGAAAAAATTAAAGTCACCCCAAAGACACTTTTAGAGAGTCTATTTTTTCCTATTAAATTTGAGGAATTAATATTAGTTGTCAGATTAACTTTAAAATAAAAATTAAAAAGATCTGAAGGTCGAAAAATAAAAATCATTTTGTTTATCTTTTAGAATTTGAATTGTATTGTATTTTATTATATAGATATTTTAACTTAATTTTTTATTCTATGTGAAATTCTAATACATGTAAGGGTTAATTGCATTAAAGGTCCCTAAAATATATAGTTTGTCTCATTTTGATTTTTAATATTTTAATTACATCATTTTTGTCTTTAAAATATTAAATATATTTCTATATAGTCTTTCAAGCAGACAGTGTCTAGATTATTAATGATTTTTTATCATAATCTTGTCATGTGATACTTAAATGTGATAAAAAAAATAATTTGCATAACTATTGACCAAAATTTTACTCAAATTTTGTTTAAATGACTATCTAAATAACGTAATTTTGATCACGAACTATCCAAATTTTGACCAAAAGTTACTCATATTACACATTTTTTTATCAATAACTACCCAATTTTTTTTAAAAAGGTATCAAAATTATTTTTTGTCCATATTTAAGTATTACGTGACAAGTTTATGATAACAATATAGTTAACAATTTGAACGTTATCTGCGTGAAGGACTATATAAAAATATATTCAATACTTTCAGGACCAATGATGCAATTGAAACATTAGATGCTAAAATGAGATAAATTTTATTATTTGGGGACCTCTAATACAATTAACCTTAAATTTAATACGCAACAATTTTTTTCTCACGTGTGAATCATATCGGGTTTAGCACCCTATTGGGATCAGGCCCAAACGAATTATAATTGTATTTATAATGATTAATAAAGGTCTAAACAGATTTGACTTGTTTACTCTAAAGTCTATATAAAATTAAGTTATTTCAGTTATCTCTGATGAGACCTAATATAAATAATTTGCATTATAATTTTAATAATCGATCAAAAATATCTATCTACTTATGATTATGATCCAAATTCAAATCAAAGTTGTATTAGAAAAGCAATGTAGTTACGCGTACGTTTTTGGTCAGGTGGTTGAGCGGTGGCTATTTTTATGTTTTTTTGGTTTGTTATCAATTCATTGACATTGAAAACCAACATCCATTGCACTTGCCGCAAACAGAGACAAAGTACATACTCAGAGCACTATCATACTGACTGCCGAG